ACCATGCCTCTTCAAAGACGTCCCCCGCCATCCTCGGACGGCCACCACCACCACCACCACATCCAGCCCCCGCAACCTCTCTCGTCCAACTCTTCGTACTCTTCTACCTCCTCGACGTCGTCCACATTGGCTTCAGACTCTTCTTCGCTCGCCACGCCGTTCGAAAACCTCCATCTCCGCGAAGACTTGCGTCCGTTCGACGAGAAGGACCTTCGGGAAGAGGCTTTTATAGGAGAGATAGACTCAGACGTGATTATGCTAGAAAGAATGAGCGGCGCGTCATCGCCCAGCAGTGAGTACTCCCCCTGTCTCGCCGATAAGGATGGTGTGTGCGCCATGTGTTCTCGCGTACCCGCAACGACCTCAGTATCCGTGTCAGAAGACAACGCCCGTCCGTATCGCGCGGTGATCGCAGGTCACCATGGTGTAAACGGCGGGGTGTGTCTTCGCCAATCACACGCAGCGGATCGACGCCCTGTCAGTGGTCGACAAATGTGGGGTCAGGCGCCGCCTGTACGCCGTGCCTGCGTCGAGGACGGCTCCTTTTGCCTTTAGCCGTCCGTGTCTTTATTGCCGCGTTTTACACAGCTCCTGTGCGGGCGCCGCTCATAGATCGCTACTCCCCGAAGGCGTTCGAAGTCAGGGTCGGCTAACCCGGCCCAACCCCCATGCACGAGGCAGATTTGACTCCCGATGGCTTTGGTAGATTCACCTCATTCCGAGCTTCCGAGCCGACTACACTATACATGCGCATACACCATCTGATCGTCGGCCTCTGTGTCCTCTCCTGATCTGAACACTGACCTTCCCCTCTTTCCCCTCCCACGGACCAACGTGCAGCTCCGATGCCACTCGCCGTCGCCGGCCGTCGCTGCATTAATTATCCACTTCTTGCCGCTACGCGGTCGTTGCACCGTCTGCGCCCTGCCTTTTTGGGATGATCCGCCCCGATTCCCCAGCGATGACGTCACTAACTGCCGGCCCGACGCACTATAGCAACCCCGGAATGCGGGCGCTCCGAGGCCGGATGCCCCTGCCGTGATCTGCCGCCCGGTGCCTCTCCACCCGCGCGTGAGTTCGACTTCGTATTTCATGTTATCTGCTCACCCCATCGCCACAAAGCAGATGCTGGCGGCCGAACCACCGCTGCACTCGCCGCTCGACCAGAAGCACCGTGGAGCAAGGCCCCTGCCTTTAACTCCGTCGCGAAGCTCGCTTGTGATCGCTTGCCGAGTCGTCCTCGCCTCAGGCTCCACACGGAAATTGGGGGCCAAATTCTCACTCTAGTCTCAGTCGCTGATTTGTCTGCCTGTTTTCGCCATCGCTGCGCCCGACGTGGTGCACATTTTTGCTCGGCACCGTCATGCTGACATCACCTATCGAGCTCATTTTTTTTTGTCGCCGTGGTTGTTTTTCGGTTGGTGCTCGGGGTATGTGGGGGAGGTGAGTGCACTTCTGGCTGGTAACGTAATTACCGACCAACAATGTGCTAACAACCGTCAAATTAATGCATAGCCGAGCACATTGCTCTCAGACTCATAACGACATCTCGTGGCGTGAGCATACACGGCCCGTTTTTCGTCATCTCGCTAGGATATTGGTCGTTCCGGGACTAGCGCGAGCACTGCTAAGGGGGCATTTCGAAGGACCTGCGACGACAGCGCTCATCCAGCTGGCATGAACGCCTTGGTCCTTGTCTGCGGAGTCTCACGGACCCCACATTCCTCCCACATCGCGTCTCAGTCGTTTTAGGGTTCCAGTTACCCCGCTCCGCGAACCGATCGGATAATCACAGATGTGATCGCAGGTGGTGTCTGTAGCTGTTTTCCTACTCCCCTTGGTTGAGGTATTTCGGGCGTTAGGGGCGAAAGAGGCCTATCTGCCAGCTATCACGGACCCTCGCTATCGCCCGACCAGGACCAGGGCGCGTCCACTCGGAGCTTGGTCGCGTGCGCTGCTGCTGGACGGCGAGGATTCGCCATGGGATGCCAGGTCATTGAAACGTGTGCCGCGGAGATATAGACGCTGACGAACCACGACGGTTTCCTAAAGCAGCGCGGTCACTCTGACAGGGTGCTTCGATGGACGAGCGCATCCCCTGCTGCTGCTCCTCGCACTTGCTCTGCCGACGCTTGAGGTCGAGTACATCATATATACTGGGTCTTGTCGCCTGGATGGCCAAGCTCCGATGGCCCGGGCTCCGCGCACACCATCGCTACGAACGGCGAGCGTTCCGTTAGACTTGATATGCATGCGGCCAGTCACGACCGGCCGGTGGTGGCAGACCGTTTGTCGAGAGCGCCAGACTCGACTCTATGCCCAAAAAGCTCTCAACATCACCTGGATTCTTGTGCTCTGCTGAAGATGCAGCGTCTGCAGACCGTTATCGAGCGTCCCCCTGAGGTGCGAATGTCGCATCCGACAGCTCAGTTGCCTTTTACAAACGGCAAATGCACACCCCGTCGCATCGCGTCCGCGTCAGGTACTTTGCTTCCACGATCGGGGCCCATTCTTTGATCGGCCGTCGGCGTACTACCACGACTCCAACCTTTTTTTCGCGCCTGTCTCTGCCTCTCTCAAATATCCCCTTCTTTCATCGCTTCCTCCCCCCGTCCCTCGCGCCCACGCCTGCGTGCGACCCCCTTGCTGGCGACCTCCCCCCTCGATCCTCGTCCGAACACAGCCTACGGCCCCGTGCCATCACGCTCGTTTGACTCCCTTCCACCCCTCGGTCGTCTAGCATGTCGCCGAAACGGCATTCTGCACCTGCCTTCGCTCTGCTGGGGTTCGCCATACTCACGTCCGCGCAGACCCTGCCTCCACCAGGCCAGCCCGCTCGCTCGAACGCGTCGCTCGGGAAATACGACATCGTCGGGAACAGTCTCGTCAGTGCGCAACAGGTACGTCGGCCGCCCTGGCTTCTCGCGCGCGCGTTCGTTCGTTTTTCGGGCGCGTCTCTCGACGCGTCCGCGCATGACGCGCGTTTTCGGGCCGCGTGATGTCCTTCCCTCGTTCTCACCCGTCTCGCAGCTCTTCCTCGGCACGGAGAACACCGTCTTCATCATCGACAAGGTCGAGAACAACTCCGCGCGGCTCAATGGTCACCCTGCGTGGGCGTCGCGTTACGACCTGGGCTCGAACGACGCCAGTCCGATGGATGCCATCACGAATACCTTCTGTGCGGTATGTTCTCCGGGGCACGCTCACGCGCGAGCAACGCCATGCTGATGGTGCGTGTAACAGGGTGGCGGCGTACTCGGAAACGGCAGTTGGCTGGTCGTCGGCGGAAACCAGGCAGTTACGACAGGCGGTGCAACTGCGAGCAGCCAAAACGGTGTCCCACCTTATGATGATCCCGACGGAGGGAAGAGGCGCGTGCTTCCACTTGATTTGCAACGAATTGCGTACTAACCAGCATATAGCTTGCGGTAGGCATCGCGCAATACTGTCCGACTCTATTCGTCCCTAAACTTTCTCTGTTAGGTTGCTTCAACCCTGCGACGGCGATAGCTGTGATTGGCAGCTCGTTGGGCAGATGGCCACTCGACGATGGTATCCCACTGTGTACGTCACTGCGCGTTTTCAACTGCTCCAGCGCTTTTAACGCTTTTTCTTAGCGAGACCTTGGAAGACGGCCGAGTAATCATCGTAAATGCATGCTAATTCATTATTGTATGCGTGCTGATTGGTGTATCTCAGATTGGTGGAGACGGCTATGGTGGGTTCGTGAACGATGCCTCGCAAACCAATCCGACCTACGAATTCTTTCCCGCTGCCGCCGGTGCACAGCCCGTTACCTCGCCTCTTCTGCAACGCACCCTTCCCGCAAACCTCTACCCATTGACGTGGCTGCTCCCCTCCGGACGCCTATTTATGCAGGCGAACTTTGGTACTGCGATTCTTGATTACAAGGTAGAGCAGGAGTATCAACTTCCGGACATGCCTCACGCCGTGCGCACGTATCCTGCGAGCGCTGGCACCGCGATGTTGCCGCTGACGCCGGCAAACAACTGGACGGCAACAATCGTATTCTGCAGTGGCATGGACGTCGCCCCGAACGCCTGGGACCCGAACGCGGACTGGCCAACGATGTCGACATCCAAGTCTTGCGTGCGCATCACGCCCGACGTGTCGCAGAACTATGAAGAGGACGACGACGTACCGGGGCCGCGGTCAATGGGGAATATGATCATCCTCCCCACAGGCAAGATCATGTATCTCAACGGTGCGCAGACCGGCGTTGCGGGATATGGCAGTGGGTCGAACACTGTCGGCGACTCGTATGCGGACAACCCTGCGTTCCAGCCGATGATCTACGACCCCGATGCGCCAGCCGGATCGCGCTGGTCCTCAGACGGCCTTTATCCTAGTACTATCGCGCGCATGTACCACTCGACCGCGACCCTGCTCGTCGACGGCTCCATCCTCGTCTCCGGGTCCAACCCGCACCCCGACGTCGTCCTCTCCAACACCAAGTTCCCGACCGAGTACCGTGTCGAGATCCTCTACCCCTCGTACTACAACGCGCCGCGCCCGGAGCCGCAGGGCATCCCGGCGTCGATCGGCTACGGCGGGCCGTACTTCAACCTTACGCTTTCGGCCGCCGACCTCGCGCACGACGTCGCGAACCTGAACCGCACGTCCGTCGTGCTCGTGCGCCCCGGCTTCTCGACGCACGCGATGAACATGCAGCAGCGCATGCTCGTGCTCGAGAACACGTACACCGGCACCACCAGCACCAACACTAGCGGCGGCGGCGGGGGCACGCTGCACGTCGCGCCCGTGCCGCCGAACCCGGCGCTCTTCCCGCCCGGCCCGGCCCTCCTCTTCGTCGTCGTCGCCGGCACGCCGAGCGTCGCGCGCCAGGTCACCGTCGGCGCCGGCAGCATCGGCGCGCAGCCCACGCGCGCGGCCGTCGCGCTCCCCGCGAGCCGCGTCCTCGCCGCGGACGCGGACGCGACGGGCCAGGGCCCGAACCAGACGGCGACGGCGAGTGCCACCGGCGTGAAGGTCCAGGCGGCGAGTGCGGCGTCGCCGGCGCGCGGCTTGGTGGGACTCTGGACGGCGGTTGGAGCGCCGCTTGTGGTTGCGGGTGTGTTGTTGCTGCTGTGTGCGCCGCCGTTGTGACTGCACCGCGCATGGACCCACGAAATTTCTCGTGATCCCTGTTGGTTGGACCTTTTTTTTTCACGATCGCGATCGGACACATTGTTGTTTGTATGTATTCATGTGCTGATGGACTCGGCCTGTGGACCCTTGTGCTGGTGGTTGCCACAGCCAGTTTATTTGTCATCATGTACCACCACCATACTTGTAGTGTACTATACCTCACCCTCCTCTGTACGTTTCCGGGCCCCACCCGTCGTCATTCCTTTCTGTTGGACAGGCATCTAGGACACTTGTACCTGCATTTTTGAAAGCTACATGTACACTTGCGAATCAAGCGTGCCGTATACCGTCGAGCCCGAGGCTCCGGTGGCTCCTCAAGCTTCCACAACCAGACTTGCGACACCGCACAAACAACCATTTTATTCGCACACAAGGTAGGCACAACAGATGCACATATATGCGCTTACAGAGAGGCGCGCTCAACGCCGGGCACGCCGAGCGTGCGGACACTCGGGCAAGAGACAGTACGTCCCGGGGAACCGCCCGCACAGGCTCGGCCTCGGCCACGGGTCGCCCGTGCGCACGACGAAGGGTGTGTGCACCGGCGGCGCATACACGGCGCTGTGGCTGGGCAGGTGGGGGCGCGAGGGCGGACGCCGGAACTCCTCGGGCAGCGTGCTGAGGAGCTGGCGGAAGGACGGCAGGCGGGTGGCCGGCAGCGACGGTGGCAGTGGCGGCAGTGGCGGCGGCGGTTCTACGCGCACGCGCGTGTCTTCCCGTTCGGTGTCCTGTGGAGGCAGCGGCGGGCGGCGAGGCCGGTGCGCACGTTCGAGAGCGGGGGTCAATCTCGTCGGCCGCCTCGCGGGTGGCGGCTGGGAGGACCGCGGCAGAGCCTGTGCATCATGCGATGTTGGCGGCCCTTCGTGCTTTGTCCTCTGGGGGGCGCCTGTGTGCGGGTCGACGCCCCGCTTCGCGCAGAGCGTCCGCCACGAGCACGGCGAGATCCAGAGCACATCGTCGGTGTGGTCGTGGCCTGCAACAGGGCAGTCGGTCGCGGGGACGCTCCCGTCAAACTTGGACCGGCCGTGGTGCTTTTGGCAGTGCAACATGAGCTTCTCCCCGGGGCGCACGCGCGCGTTGCAGGCGTACGCAGGCTGGCCCGCCTGCGAGGCGCGGAAGACGCGCCCACACATCTTCCATCGTGTGCCACGCGGGACGATGGAGCGCATGTCGGGCGGTCGGGGTGGGCCTTGGTTTTCTTGCTTAGTGGCGCGGGGCATGTGAACCTGGTGGACAAAGACGAGCAGACCCACGTGAAGTTGATGGTACGGAACAGAAAAGAGGACGTTACCCGACCTCTTTCTCCCACCTTTATATAGCGAGGCACAGACTTGGCAAAACATCGTTGCGCGGCATGGGCCGCAGACGGTTGGCATTCTTGTGGACGATATAAACAACCACTCGTGCAATCTTATGGTATAAGATCAAGTTGGGACCATGATGCATGATGGCTGGTGCTACTCAGGCCACTGCGGGGGAGAACAAAGTCGGTAAAACAACCATTCATCCCAAAGACCACAGCTCATCACCGTAACATGTCGCAAGGTACCGGATTCACGTTAAACGGAGTAGCCCCCGAGACGCAGCCCAGTGGGGCATAACTTTCAGCCAGCCGCAATGCAAGAGAAAGCTCGGTTCCGCCTGCAGCTGTCGTGGTCGTCTGCAGAAGATGATGGTCGCCCTCGATAAGGCTGGGGCGCTTGTGCGCAGGCTCATTATATTTTGGACCTTTGTGGCGCATCTAAAGCGCCTCCTCCTTCATTCCCACCGCTCACGCACTCACTCACAGGCCTACTCATCTCTTCTAGCTACCACGACCTGAGACGAGCACACATTTCGTACGACATGGCTGGCTCGCCATTCAGACGTCGACGCGTCATCTGGTCTCTGATCATCCTCTCGCTCGTCGGGTTCTTCTACCTCGCCACTAACACGGACAGCTCACTGTCCTTCAGCTCGTGGCCGTTGCCAGCCTATCTCAAAGACCTTGGTCTCTCCAGCTCATCTTCCCCCGCTCGTCTCATTGCTGATGCCAAAGCGGACGCAGGGAGACCACAAGCGCGGGAGATCGACGGCCTGCTGCACTTCGTCACGGCCTATCCCAATAGGAAATTCAACGAAGAGGACGACATGATTGAGGTGGCAGGCGTGGGGCATGTCAAAGTGGAGGCGCAAGAGGAGGTGGACATGAAGGTGTATGCACCAGATGGCGACGCCGACTGGACAACACACTTGCAGGACCTGGAGACAGAGCACCCGCTCATAGTCTTCAGCAAGTCGTACTGCGCGTACGTACACAGGCCCTTACATATGACATACAGATACTTAACGATCGTTTTGTAGGTATTCGCAGCGAGCCAAAGCACTGCTTTCGTCCTACAAGCTGAAGCCCGCTCCCACGATCGTTGAGCTTGATCTGCGCAGCGACGGGCCCATCATCCAGGGGATCTTGTACAGGCTGACAGGCCAAAGGACTGTCCCTAACATCATCCTACAGGTGCGCAGCGTCTTCATTCGTACAGTGCCCCCGTCTGAAACAATTCTTCGGCAGGGCAAATCCATCGGAGGCTCGGATGACATCATGTCTCTACACGAAGAGGACAGGTTGAAGCCCCTCTTGCACAATGCGGGGATGACAATCGGAGGGATATAGTGTGCTTGAACCGTGGACGGCCTCGTGCATAGCAGAGATCGCACTTGAATCCAGAAGGGTGTAAGATAGTGTTCGAGTCGTGTGATATCCGCATCGTTTGCGCCGATCTTCCAAATAGCACACGGTCATGCAATGCGCTCGTTACCTCGGAATATGACATGTCCGACGTTGCGCTCGAATAGAGGAGGCAATCGCGGGGCCGGCCTGCGCCTGGGCCGAGATCGGCGTGGTATTCTGGTAGGTGCGGGTGCGGGTGGATCTTGGGTGTCAACGACTATAGTATGAGACGAGCTCGCCTCCGTTTCGGCTGGCGCAGGAGGGGAGGGTGCGCGGTCAGGCGCAGATTCCGTGTTCTCGTCGATGATGGGCGGGGCAGGTATTCGTCGCGACTTCCGGCAGCTCATACACGTCTGGGACACCGTATGTCCAGAGTTCGTCGACGCTTCGATAAAATAAGTAATAATAATGGGGAGAGAACGCGTCAGAGCTCACAGTTGACTCGTACTTCGGCCGTCAGACCAGGCACGAGCACCAGGTCGCACCCCTTGCAGAGTGTACGCTTTACCGCAGGATCCCTGTTCGCAATCAGCACACAGCCGGGTCCATAGAAAGCACACGCACATGCGCATGTTCGTTTTTCTCCCAATCGCCTTCATGTTCTTCACATACGTCCGCGAGAGGTCCGCGTACGCGGTTGAGTGCCGCTCCTTGAACCGTCTCTGCATCTCGCGTTTCCGCTCCCTGCCTCGGAGCGAGTCTGGCACAGGTCCCTGGGCGACAGACGGCGGTACGCTCTGCGTGCCCAAAAGTTGACTGGCTTGGTAGAGGAAGTTCAACCGTTGGAGGATGTCCCGGTTCGTGATGCTGTTCGGGTTCGGCACGTCATCTTTGCTCTTCTTTGCCATCTCTTGCGGGCACACGGGGAATCAATGAGCGATGTGTAAATGACAAACAGATGCAGAGAAAGATAGAAGAAGTGGAGACGGGTGGTTATGGTGGTATCCAGCAAAAGCGCAGCAGATGCGCCACCGGGCGCTGTCCAACGGGAATGGAGACACTCTCAGCGGGACTTGCATCTGTATTTTCCGTTCGAAACACATGCACAAGAATCGTCTATGAAGATTAATCATGTATGGAATACATGCCGCCTTGACGCCAGTTCTGTAGTCGTAGAGCGAGGCCAGTGGGCCACCCGTCAGCCTATTTACCTGATGTTTTGTGTACGCAATATGAATTATGTCCATCGGCCCCTGCACATTTTCATTTTTCTCGTAAATCGAGTCGTCCCAAGCGGTATTAAAACTGTTCTATGCATCTCGTGCATCATCATCATCATCATTCAATATATCGAGGGTCAGTGATCCAGATATACAACGCGGACACTCGTGGTCGAGCAGCAGAGTAGCTACAGGCACCCTCAGCCGACCTTCCCAGGACGCACACTACCTCTGACAAGACAGACACATTTTAACATTAAGCTAAGAATTTCAGCTCGACGTTCGCGCAGCCAGACGGAGCGGACCCAGAGCTAATGAAAGCGATCTGAACGATGTCGAGCTCAGTTCCCGGCGAGACTACACTGCAACTGCGTTTGTACTTACATGCTGGTCGGTCCCGCAGACCAGGAACGATCCTGGCCCAGACTCGTATTGCAAGACTCCACTTTCTGTCACGCTGAACGGTCCCTGGGAGGAGCACTTGTTCGAATCGGACGTCGTGAAGATGAGGTCCCCGGTGGTGCCACAGGTGGTTCCGAAGTTTTGGAAGTTCACGTAGGCATGAGACGTATCGTCGATGTCGGCGTACAGGAAGTCGAAGTCGGAGGAAATGTAGAAGGACGTGCCGGTGTCAGCTGTGACCGTGGCAGTCGCGCCGACGCCAGTGACGAATAGTTCCTGGGCATCAACGTGTTACAGCCAGTTCACGAATGTCAATGAACAGCCAATACATACACCCAATATCTCGCCGTCTTGGACAACATTCAACGCCGCAGGAGAGCCGAGGGTCTGTCGCTTTGACGGCACTGCGTTCCCGAGCGCTATACCGCAAAGAAGCAAGCCCGACAAGATGACTTTCATGGTGTAGTGTAAAGTTGGTTTGCGGGACGAGCCTTGCGCAAGCAGCCAGAACTCATCCGTTATAAGGCCGTCCAAGGCGGGCATTGTAGCCCGGATGCTATCGCTGTTAACAGTAATTAACTGTCATCAACAGCCTTTCCCGACGTCACAAGGCCTAAGCTTACGGAATTACTTGACCTTGATCTTGCCATATGAAAATGCTGGAGCTTGTCTTGGTAGTGGCGAGACTTCATCAGCATATTTCGCTGATATCGGCAATATATTTACTACAGCGATAGAGGCGTACCTGGAGATTGCCATGACCATCGCACAGAGGACCCATGAACCATTCACACAATGTTTAAGTCAGGGGTGACAACTTACTAACAACGTACCAAGGTGCGCGCGCCAAGCGACACTCTGATATTGATGTGACTATTAGCGTGAGCTGTCAAAGTTGCTAGTCCTAGCCTTAAGGGGGCAACTGTGCGAGAATCTTTTCTGGCGCTATAACCGAGCGAGTAACGCAGGGTGGAGAGCAGTTTCCCACCACAAGAACCAGAATTAAGATTCCATATGTTATGTGGCAATTACAAAACTAGACGAAGACGGTATTCAACATCGATAGATGAGATATAGAGGAACAACTGACTCACCGATGACTAATAACAGGTGGCAGTGTGACATTCCATGATACGGGTGCGATTAATCGTCGTCGAAACTGGTTGCTTTTTTCCTTCCCCGCCCTCGCGCTCCTCCACCTCTTCGCCCGCGCTTGGTAGCCCTGGGTGGTCCGGCTGTTGCAGCTCGCTTGATCCCGCGCATTCCCCCACCGTTTGGACATGCTAATCGAAAGGGGAGCTCGTCAGATCACGATGCGTCCGCAGAAAACGCGGTGTGAACGCACCGTTACTGTAATGTCCTTGCTGCCCACACTTAAAACACTCGGTACCCATGCTACCGCCGCTCAACCCGCCTCCGGGACACGCTGCACAACGTAATATCAGAAAGGGAACATCAGACGTTTATGCAATGAACTTACCGTTGCTGAAGTGCCCAACCTGCCCGCATTTAAAGCACGCATTCGAAGACGACCCAGACGCGTTTGTGCCGAAGCTCCTGGTCCCTCCACCTCCGCCCTGATTCGGACATGCACTTGCCCAGTGGCCCGGCTGCCCACACTTAAAGCATTCGCCACCCGCGCCACCTCCGCCGCCGAGGCTCCCGCCGCCTCCAAAGCTCGGTCCCGAGCTGCCGCCAGGCCGGCCGGGCGGCCCGTCTGCCCATTCGAAGAACCCGCACTGCTCCTCCTGCCGGTTCGCGCACGTCCAGAACTTTCGGCCTTGGTTGGGCCCTTCTTTCTGCACCTCACGCTGCACGGCTGGCTGCGGGCAGCTGCACTGCTTCTCATCTGATGCGTTAGACGGCCGACTCGACGGCGCGGTTGCATAAGAGGACGAGGGGCGCGTAGGAGTGCTGGAGGGAGGATTGTACACACGAGACGGGCCAGCAACGGGTGCGTCCGCCCAGGAGAAGAAGTTGCAGGTGTTGTCGCTACCGCACTTGTAAAACTGGCGACCCTTGTTCGCGCCTTCTTTCACCACGGTGCGTGTGATCACGGGTGAACCGCATTCACAATTCGGTTCAGCGCCTGTTGTAGCAGAGGCGGAGGCTGGTGGGCGTGAAGGTGGAGGCGGAGGTGGAGGCGGAGGTGCTGCGCGGGAAGGGGGTGCGGACGTCATAGATTTCCTCGTTGTCCGGCTGCGCGCCGCAGGAGCTGGTGGCGGCGGTGGGTCATCAAAGAAGGCTGCAAAACACGCATTATCGACTGCATATAGATGAATTCGTGGGATTACACGCACATTCGTCGTCGTCGTCGTCGTCTGGTGGTGGTGGCGGCGGCGGCGGCGGCGCAGCTCGAGCTCCACGGCCTCGTCTTGGTGTTGTTGTCCCCCTCGTCGATGCTGCTCCTCGTCCCCCTCGGCTACCTCTGGCGCCCCTACCACCTCGCGCACTTCTTCCGCCACCGTCGCCCGCATCTCCATCGTCACCGCCACCACCACCACCGCCGCCGCCGCCGCCACCGTTAAAGTCCAGGAAATCGGCTTCGTAGTCGATACCACGGCCCTGTAATCGATTTCCAACGCTCTATACAAGTTAAAGATCAGGAACATGAATGTGCCCAAAGCAACAGACAATACTCACAGTGATAACTCGATTCATCTCTCGTTTAATCCTGATGTACATCTCCTTGTACAGCTCAATGTTCTCAGTAAGCATTTCAGTCTTCGTCTTGTGGCCTTCACAAATCTGGACCATCTGCCTCTCTGTCTGCGCAAAAAAATTCAGATAGTCAGTCAATACCACCAGGCTAGGTCGAAGAGATAACGAACCTCTCTCCGCATTTCCGGCCGACTCAGGCTGCGATCGAAGCCAATCTCGTTGTAGCCCTCAACGAGGCCTATACCCAGTGTCGATGGGACGAGATACTTCGTCGCTCCCTGCATGCGCTCCATGACGTACTTGCGGTCGATGATCGTCTGTATATGCTGCGCAATCGTCGCGTCGGTGCCTATTTAACAAGGTTGTCAGACATCTTTGTCTCGTGTAATTTGCGCACAGAGCTCACCGATGCCGTTCTTGTCCATGAGCGCAACCAAATCAGCCTCAGTGAGCAGGCTCGGTCGAGACGTCTGGCCCTCCTTCAACTCGCATATACTGGGCATGAACTCTTCGTTCTCCGCGAAATTCGGGAGCTCCTTGTCCGACCACTTGTCGTACGGGAAAACGTCGAGATAGTTGCGTTCGCGCACGGTTAAACCTAGCAGAATGTCAAACATGACAGTCAGAAGAAGTGAGACGTAGAACGGACCGGTTGCGTAGAACTCCTCCCCACCGCACTCAACGTCTACGGTCGTCTCCCAGCCGAGCGCATCCTTTGAGCAGCTCGCAAGGAACCGACGCGTGATGTACTCATACACTCGCTTCTCGTCGCCTGCAAGGTTTCCCGCGTGTGCAGTAGGGTGGATAGGCGGATGTGCCTTGTCATTCTTCTTGCCTCTGCGGGGCGGCATGGATGCGCCGTTCTGGAGACTGAGACCGCTTTAGCACGGATACACGCGAATACATAGTTCGAGACGTACGAAGAAGCGAACTGGCCCCAGGCAGGATCAACGATCTGCTTCTGGATAAGTGTCATAAAGTCAAATTGTGGGTCGAACTGGTCTGTCTCTGTGCGCGGGTAGGATAGAAACCCTTGTTGATACAAATGCTCGGCGATCTGTACGCATAAAATCAGTCACATGAATGGTTAACATGACATAAAGAGACTGCTTACATCTAGGACCTTCTTCGGCGAGATCTTCAGTAGCCTAGATCCTGCCTTTTGTAGGTCGACCGTGGTCAATGGCAAAGGCTTCCTGCATATACACATTAGAGCAAATTTGGATAGACATCACAAAAGAGGTAACCATTTCTTCGTGTTCTTGCGAGTTACTCTCGTCACGTTTGCAGTAGGGTTATCCAGTACATGCTCGTATATTGCAAGGGCGACCTCGAGCTCAAACAAATGCCCCCTTCGCCACGTAAAGGGCGTTTCCGATTCTTCCCCCGTAGTTTCGTCGATGCGAGTTAAAGCTAGGTAGATATGCCAGAACGTCTCCGAGACGAATGACTTGACTTGGTTGTAGCGCGAGACGACGAAGCCCAGTGTTGGAAACTGACAAGGTCCTATCGTGCTATAAGCGGTCAGGACATGCGAGGAATAAACCGAAGAAGACCTGCCGTAAGATATAACATCTCCTTTAAGCTGTTGGAAACGTTGCTGAAGCTGTAAACTTTGAAGGCGTGTGAACGTTGCTCCGATGCGCAGGTCGAGGAGTGTTCGGGCTTCAACAGCATTCGACTGAGCCATGTCCAGATTAACCGGGTGTTGCGCGGCGTTATGTATTTGCCTGAAGTATGCAATAAAGCGTCAGTTTTCTAGCGCGAATGGCTGAACTTACTGAGCTATAATCGCACTGAACCTCGCCCGCCGCACTATGATGGCCGTCTTCACCTTCCTGCACACCCCAGCAACCTCGGCGCCGATATTCTCCCCCTCTCTATCACAGTCCGTCCATATCATGAGCGTCTGTGCGCGTCGAGCCTCATTCTCGAGATTCCGTGCTATTGTCTCTGAACCTTTCTTAATTCGCGAGATGATAGGCGCGTCGAATAAAACAAATGGTTCGCACGACTGCCAATTACTGTAGGCTGAATCGAAGTCATGGTCTAGAAGATGTCCAGTGACAGACGTGACGGTGAACTGGGAGTTGGTCTGGGGATAGTCGAAGTCGTAGTTCCTGATATACTTGTTAGGACTGGGACGCTATGCAGAAGAGTAAGACGCGCGTCTCAGTCTACGACTTGTGACTTACAGTATTAAATTGTCCTCCAGAGAGTATCTGCGTGATAGAACGGGCTATCGAGGGCTTTTCTGCAACGCAGAGCACCCTCATGGGACGGCAAACGAAAGACGGTCAAGTATTGTGAACAGCTCTAGTGCTTTGTCAGCCTTGTAGATATGGTTTTATGAGCAATGCGCATGCGTCTCAGGAGCTGAGATGAGAATGAGAGAAGAGAAGGCCGGACATGGCGAAGGGCAAGTCCCATTCCCCGCGCTCACGATCACGAGACACGGTCGCGTCGCGCCAAAGCCTCACGTGGCATTCACGTGGACCAGAGCTCGCGCTTGGTATCACGGCCGACGAGCACAACTCCCGGTACATGAATATTGGCACGGGCGTATGGGGGCCGTTGGTTGCTCGATTCTGAAACCAGGCTGAGATGAAGTCCGGGTCCAAGTACTGATACTGTACGAGATAAGTCTTCCAAGAGAGAATGCTAAGGTAGATTGTTCCGCAGACTAGATGTTACATAATTCCAAGCTACACAAGAGCACAGCTAGCTGTCAAGCTATAGCCTTCGCTTACAGTCGACCCTGCATCTTCTTCTGTGTAGCCACAAGCTCCTCCCTCTGGGGCTCAACGCGCCGCCAAACATCCTCTGATAGGAGCAGGCCCTCTTCAGTACTCCTCTTTGGAATAACATGGAAGTGGACGTGGTCAACATGCTTTACTGATCGTCAGCAACCTTCTTCATGTTCCCGACCGTGATAACGCACCTGAAAGGCCAACTTCCCATTGTTCTGCAAGATGTTGAATTGATCAACGCCGGCAGCCGTCGCCACTTTCTTCAGAATAGGGCCGATGTCTGCGAGATACTCATCGGGCATGTCCAAGACGGTGCGGGCATGGCCTGCAGCACAAGATCAGTGGTTTCTCAAATGGTTGCATGAGAATCGTGTCGTACACTTCGGGATTACTTGCGTGTGACCCTCAGAAATAGGGCCGATGTCGAGAAACGCAAGCCTGCGCGGTACCGCACAGATCAACGTTTATCTTCCAGAGATAACTGATGGCTTACGTCTTGTCAGTCTCGTACACCTTTAAACATGGAATCTTCCCTGATCGCTAGGCGTAAGCACTGCCATGATATACTCAGAATACTGACTGTTATACCCGCGACGATCATACAGAAGATGCAACTATAATGGTCGTCAGCCTTCTTCGGCGCTATAACCAGCTTAAATCAGGCAAACCTGGGGTCAGAAGTAGCCATGTTACTGTATTGCTTGAAGGTTCTGAACTGAACAAGAGAGGACAGTGCCAATCTGCAGTCGCCGAAAATTTTACACATGTTTGTCCCGTACAAATTAATACCATAAGTAGTACTAGGTCAGTCACCGTGAGTCACGGATAGTCAGTCGTTTATTCCAGCACGCCGAGGCAGAGTGTGTCGAAGGATTTGCTGGTGAATCAACTCAATGCATAGCTTAATCATAAGCACCGGCTTTCTGCAAATCAGCGCGATTTAAGGGCTGTTGCCATCGTGGCTTGGCGTAGAAGACACGGTCGGACAGCAGCATCTACCGCCTCAGATTCATGGTGGTGAAGCCAGGGCTTGATGTCGTAAGATGCTTCCTCAATGAGGTTGAAGTCCGGAGAGTGTGGCGGAATATAAATGAGCTTCGCACCTAGACAGTATGCATTGCCACTGTGACTTATTCTGTCGTGACTGATTCAGTCCCAGTGAGAATCCCACCTACCCGGCTCGACTCAGACCTACCAAGGTATACGGGCGGCGGCCGGAGGTTACCGATACCTACCCTCTTCGCCCTCCCGTCTTAGTTTTCTCTTTTCGCTGTCTTCTTTTCTTTGACCATGTACTTGTATCTACTCTCTCCCCCCGATTATATTTTTCTGTCATCTCAGTCTGCGTCTCTCTAGGACACTTGTGTGCTCTTGGGACAGTGAGTGTCCTTCGGCGCTTCCAACATTTCCCTCGCGCGTCTGTGTGCCAGGCTGCTATATCACCGTCCACAACACCGCTCCCTCCAGCCCACGCCCCTTCTTCGGCAAAGCATCAGTGAAATCAAAGATGATCATGAACAGGCCACGACATCGAGCTCATCGAACGTAGGAGAAGTTGCGTCACCCACGCCGACTCCCCATTCTCGCAACTTCTCATTTGCCGTCTTTTATTTAGCTTTAAAGTAAAATGAGCCGACATCTCACGCCAGAGGAGCTGCGTATCCAACATGTCCAAGTCCTGCTCATTGACTTACTTTGACATCACCATCAGCGGCCAGCCTGCAGGTTGTATCGTCTTCCACCTGTAAAATGACATCGTCCTGAAAACTGCCGAGACCTGTCAAGCCCACGGTGGAATTTGGAAATTGCATACAAGGGCCAAGTGGAGCGCCGTGACTAAGGTTTGTTTCGTGCTCGTATCCTGACATCTGTCACCTCTACGTCCAACCTACACACCTTGACATACCTCCCCGTGAGTTGCTCTTGCATGCTGGGATGGAAACCGTGCTGACAGACAGGGGTCAGGTGGTCAGAAACACGCTGCTGCTGAAGCCAAGCTTTGCATGACGTGCCAGCGAATGGCAAGGCTCCTGCAAAGAGTGCAAAGAGGGGCTCCAAGATGCGCAGACCGCCTTTTTCCGCGTTGTACCTGTGCTGAGCACGCTGTAGGCTTCGCTGGGTGCTGCGGCCCCCAAGGTGAAGGCCCTCCCAACCCACGTGAACCTCACCGACATGCTGCCTGTTCTGGCAGAGGATGCAAAGAACGTCGCACAGATGGACCCGGGGCTCATAGGTCAGACGTTGCTGGCGCCGACGACATTCAGCACAGGCAGCTACGGCTGGAAAGCGTCACTATCGAGCTTGAGAATGAGACAGGAGAGAAGGAGAAGTTGCAGCTCTCTGTGATCTACATGCCGAATGGCTCGTTCTAAAATATTCCGCGCTCAGTTGCCTTTGGCGCAGTTACGCAGCTCATTTTGAATGGTGCCGACTCCATGGAGTTTGACCGCTACATCGAGGCACGAGCCATATTGATGCCACTGCCGCCATCCCTCGCATGAAAGTAAGTACATTGTTTCACCATGTGGATGTCAGCTTGTTAACCCTGTCAAAATCCCACTGACAGGACTTACTGTCGCGACACTTGGAAGGCCAAGCACTCTGACTGCCAAGAGGACTTGGCCACCTTCAAGGCCTATTGGAAGGGCTTCACCGAGGGAGAGAAAAGGGTGTGTTATATGATATCTGTGGATGATAGCAGTTCCTGATCCATTATGGATGTGTTCATAGAAGTTCAATAATCTTGCAGCTAAGGCAGTGAGTGTACAGATTTATAGGAGAGTTACTTGGCATACTAACAGCAGTGCAGAAGTGTCAGCTGAATCAGACAGCGGTGAGCACGGCATAAAGTCAGAAATGGTAGGTCTATTCGCATTCACATTGTCTCGCGCTAACTAGCTAGAAATCACCGTGCAGATACGAGCGGCGAAGTGAAGAGAGCTGCGTGGATGGGGGTATTTATGGGTATGTGGTGTGCTACTGTATGAGATGCAGAGGAGAGGCGACCTGGGTGTGTAACCGTAGATAGCAGTATATCTGGGTGTATCACAATTTATGAAGAAGAGAAAATTGCGTAGATGGGGGTGCCTCACAGTCCAATACACCTACCGTGTGATGTGGACTTGCGTCGACACACCACAAGGGATACTGTGTGGATCTAATCAGAAGGTGGCGTCGACGGGGTCTGACGACTGTGCGCTAGCTCATTCAGCTAGCCCAGTTAACCAAGTGTATTAGTGAGTGTTTTACTACGATACAACTGAAAGCTTACCTAGCCCAGTTAACCAAGAGGTTGAGATGGGGCTAGGTAGCGACAAAGGGACTCCTTATATACTAGTCAGGCTGCGCACGGACCAGGCATTACATAAGCGACTGTGCTACGGTGGCTGCTAGTGTCTAGGGGACTTCGGCAGAGGAGCAAGGGCCGGTGTGTCATAGCGTATGACGTTGTCAGGCTGACAGAGATAGGGTGTCCGTTGCCGATCGGACTCAGAGGTAGTCGGAGGCTGGTGTGTCATAGCTTATGATATTGTTGGGCCGACGGTGATCGAATGTCCAGTGGGGATCGGAGTGCGGCTGTTACCGAGGAAGCGTGATGCAGTGTCGAGGCGGCGGTGATATGGGCGCGTTTTGATGTGCTGATGCGTGCCCATTGGTGATGCGTTCTTAAGGTGTTAGCGCACGGCTAGGACTTGTAAACTGGTGCCAATGCGCCGATGATGTTTGGAGGGCTGTACAAACATAGGATAAATCATAGAAAATCGGGGAAAATGAAGAATAAAATGGGAGGCCGGGGCTATGCCCATGACATTACCCCTCCCCTACAATCGAGACTCCTGGCGAGAAGATATGGCCTGTATTCTGCCTGTTTCCCACTCAAATTCTGCCACTTTAGAATTAGTGGTGAGTGTTGAGCTGGGATCAGTGTGTTCGTAGATAGGCTTGAAGCAACTGTGGAGTTTGCTGAAGGAGGTGGTGGAGATCTGTCGTGGTGCCAAGGGATTGTGCTTATGGAAGTCGCGTATGCGTTCTTTGGCATGTACGTCTTTGGCAGGAATCCATTCGTCGGCACTTTGTCTGTATCCTTTCCATCTGATAAGGTACTGGAGCTGTCTGCAGTAGACGCGTGAGTCCAGAATCTTTTCAACTTCGTATTCTTCCTCGTTGTTAGCTACTACTGGTGGAGGAGGTGTAGGTTTGTTCATTCCATTGTCGTGGTATGGGCTTAGCCTGTCGACATGGAAGACAGGGTGAACCTTTAGCCAGTTAGGTAGTTCAAGGCGATAGTTGAGTTCTCCGATGACTTCGGTGATTGTAAATGGCCCTAGTTGTCTGGGTCCGAGCTTACGAGTTCACTGGTGAATTGAGATATCCTTCGAAGATAGCCAGACTTTGTCTCCGACCTTGAAAGAGTGAGGCGAGTTTTTACAAGTTTCGTAGTCGGCTTTCATCTTTTCTTTAGTCTGTCGGAGAGCGGCCTCTGCTTCTTTATGGATTTTGGCCATGCGGTCGAGCCTGTCGTTCAGCGCAGGGATGTTAGAATGTTTCCCAGCTGGGATAGTGAAGTTGGGTCTATATCCGTAGAGTACTTCAAAAGGAGAGTGCTCGTTTCCAGCGTGTACTCGCGAGTTGAGTACGAACTCTGCCATTGGGAGCCATTCATCCCAATCGTCTTGGCGTTGTGAACAGAATAGCCGGAGGAATTTGGATACCTCAGCGTTCTTTCATTTGACTTTGCCGTTTCCTTCTGGGTGATAGGCTGTGGTTAAACCCGACTCTATACCAAGTCATTTGTATAAACTTCGCATGAAGCAGGCTGCGTATTGTGGTCCGCGATCAGAGAAGATTTTGCGCGGAAGACTGTGGTATCTGAACACTTCGCGGAAGTGTATCTCAGATGCTCCTTCCACTGTAAGAGTAGTGCGGCAGGGTGCGAGGTGTACTTGATCGCTATAGTGATCGACGTAGACGGTGACGGTGTCGTATTTTCCTGGGGACTTTGTCTGAGGAAGAGGGCCAACCATATCAACTCCAACGTGTTGCCAAGGTTCATCAGGAACTTCCTGTGGCTTGAGAGTTGATTTGGGGTGTTTGGCTCCTTTGTACCTTTGACATTTATCACAGCCAGCCACGTATTGTGCTATTGCGGAGTTCATTCCTGGCCACCAGTAATAGCGGGAGACTAGTTTGATCGTCCTGTGCTTTCCTGGGTGTCCAGCCTTGGAGGTATTGTAACAGGACTCGATGATTTTATTGCGGAAGGCGACGTCGTTTGGTATGTAGAGCTTGCCTTTGTAATAGATGAGTCCGTCGTTTTCTTCCCATTGGTTAGCCCGTTAACTAGCTTGCGAGGCCCTTTTGTTCGAAGGCTGGAGAGAGCTGTGGAGACCTCATCGTCTAGTGAGGTTACATCGCGGACTTTTTTTTCCAGTGGCAAACTTGTAATGAAGGCTGTAGCGGCTAGTCGTGCGAAATGTGCAGGATCTAGCTCCGGGCTGTGTATAGCACTAACAAATTGGTTTTCCGGCAGGACCACTTGCATCTGGTTATCCATGTTGTCAGATACGTACTGAGAGCTGGGGCGGGAGAGTATATCTGCGACGAGGTGTGTTTTGCCAGGCTTATGAGTTAGCACGAAGTTGTAGTCAGCTAGTTCCAGAGCCCATCGAGCTTGTCGTCTTGTAAGCCGTTATGCTGTACGCCAGTATTGGAGGTTAGCGTGGTCGGTCCAGATTTCGAACAGTTTGGGCAGTCCCTCTAGGAAGTGGCGCCAATCTCTTAGAGCTTTGATTATAGCCAGGAGCTCGCGATCGTAGATCTTGTAGTTGCGTTCTGCAGCGTTCATGGTCTGTGATCGGAAGGCAATAGGATGCCATAGAGTGTCGTTCAGATCTAGCTGACTGATTTCTCCTCCAGTAGCGTAGCCAGAAGCATCGACTTGTACGCGTGTATCTCAGTCGGCGTGCCAGAGAGCAAGAACTGGTTCAGTGGTAAACTTGGACTTCAGTGTATCAAAAGCCTGTTGTTGTGCAGAGCCCCACATGAAAGGTACATCTTTCTTTGTGAGGTCGTGTAGCGGGCGGGCAATCTTAGAGAAGTCCTGAATAAACCGACGGTAGAAGTTGGCAAACCCGACGAAACCTCTAACATCTTTCAGGTTCGCGGGCGTAGGCCATTCTGTGACTGCTTTAACTTTTCCTGGGTCCATGCTGACTGATCCTTCGCTGATGAGTAGGCCGAGGTATTCGATTTGGTCTTTCTCAAATTCACACTTTTCTGGACGTAGATAGAGGTCGTATTCTTTGAGACGCTCTAGTACTTCGTGTACAATCTTTCGGTGTGAGGCGAGGTCCGAGGACCAGATGAGAATATCGTCCAGGTATACGGCGACTTTTCCTTCGGCGATGAGATCTGCGAAGATCGTGTCCATGAGGGCTTGGAAGGTTGCCGGCGCGTTGGTCAGCCCGAAGTACATGACGCGTGGTTCGAAAAGTCCTCTGTTAGTGACGAAGGTGGCTTTCCATTTGTCTCCAGCTTTGATTCTGACATTGGTGTATCCCCAACAGACGTTGAATTTAGAGAAAACCTTTACACCTTGGAGCTTGTTGATAATATCATTAGCTAAGGGCAGTGAATATCTGTTCTGAATTGTGGCGTCGTTAAGTTTGCAGTAGTCTTAGATAAGCCTAAGCTTGCCGTCCTTTTTCTTAATAAAGAAGACGGGCAAAGCGATGGGCGACTTGCTGGGGACAATGTAGCCTTTCTTGATTGCATCGTCGAGAAAAGCTTGTAGCTCCTGATTTTCTGCTGGGCTCATTGGGTAGACCTTTGATCAGATTGTAGTGGGAGCGTCCGCTTTGAGGTCGATAGCATGATCCCAGGCTCTATGTTCAGGAAGCCTAGTCGAGTCTGTTTCGGAGAAGACGTGGGCGTGTCGATGATATTCTTTTGGAACAAGCTGCTCGAAGGTCTTCAAATACTTTTCCTTATTTTGCTTGACAGCTACTTTCTGAGAATAAGTGTAGCCTGCTAGGCAATAAACTTTGTCTGTGGCGTTATCGAGTATACCGGCCTTCACCCAGGCCCGGCGTTCTGCTCGATTAGCTTCAACTTTGTTTAAACTTGGCGACACAGGAGAGTCAGGCGATGCTTCTGAGCTGTCAGGAAGCGTCATTTTGCCTGTTTCCCAGTCTATGGTGGGGTTGACTTTCTTTAGCCACGGTAATTCGAGGATGATGTTTTCGGGGCCAATGTCTGTGATGAAGAAGTCGTATTCCTCGGGGGCTCGCAATCTGATTTTGACTTTGAGCTTAGCGTAGTATGTGATTGCACCGGCGCTGTTAGTTGATCCGTCAATATTTCGGAGACCAATTTGTCGTTTGAGTGGTCATTTGTAGATGTTATTCTTTCGTGCGAATTTTTCATGCAGGAAGTATCCAGTGGCACCGGAATCAATCATAGCAGGGGTGCGTAGAGATTTGTTTATTCCTGATACTCCTGATACTGTTACAAATACGTGGAAGTGAGACGAGAGATGATCTATGGACAATACAATACACGACAAGATATGGTCTGAGAGATCAGAGTTCGAGTATACAGGAGCCGGCACTGTTGAAGGCCGCTCATCTAAACCGGGCGCCAGAGCTGCAGCTCTAGTCTGGGCCCTTGCTAAAAACCCTGGCTGATTTTTGCCATCAGCTCAGCTTGTTGTTTCTGCATTAGAAACATCATATCTTTAAGACTAGCTACGTCGGCAGCAGAGTCTTGTGACGCGGAGATGGATGCAGGTGTCGAGGAGCTTGTCGATGATGAAGCTCGAACCGATTGCGACTTTGGTGGTTGCCCGTTTAGTCTTGACAGGCAGAGCTTTTTCCAGTGACCAGGTTTAACTCAGTGTTGGCACCTGGTATCCTTGTGTGCGCCATCTGCCTTATGACCTTTGGAACTGCAAACGCGGCAGCGACCGACCATGAGCTTGTTGTATTGTTTCTTGATCTCCGCAGGGTCCTTGAGGCCCTGGAAGAGATTGTTGAAACGCGTGGCGGAGATTTCCATAGCGTCGATGTCCATGGCGTTGGGGTCGCAAAAGCCCGAGGAGCGTGTTGTTGATGACTGAGGTTGCGAGACTGGTTTGCCTTGATTAGCCGCCAGGTCTGCTTTCTGCAGGTCGATTGTTGCTCCGTAACTTTTTACCAAATTGTAATCCGTGGCCAGGGGGGCAAAGTAGGACAGCCTATTGAAATAGTCTGAACTCATGCCAGACTTGAGACGATCGTAGAGGTCATTGTCTGACCAGCCGGTGTGACGCGAGTACATCTCGAAGTCGGAGAGGTAGTCCGTGAATGTCCTGTTGCCTTGTTTGATCGACATGAGCTTCTGCTTGGCCTCGTTCTTTGCATTGACGGGTTTGAACTTGGCTGAGAATTGTTTGACAAACTCCGACCAAGAGGAGTTGAACGGGGTACGACCATCCGAAAGGTCCTCGATATGGGGGCGTGCCCAGACTGCCGCGTCATCTGTCATAAAAGAAAGGATGCCAGTGATCATTTTAAGCGGGTCCATTGTCCAGTTACCGGAGGTGTCGAGGATGATGGCTTCGTTGGCGTCTCGTAGGGCGAATATTTCTTTATTGCCTCGGACATAGATATGGAACGCGCTGCGGAAGAGCCTAGCTTTTTCTGACAACTTGCCGTTGAAGGTAGAGGGTTTCTCGACAAAAGACCGGGACCAAGTGGAAGAAACCGATGCGGCCGGCGAGCACGCACTTGTAATAAACTGATTCACCATGACCGTGAGGGCATTTACATTCTGGATGAGCGTGCCCATAAGGTTCATTAAATCCTCCAGTGTTGCCTGATGTGGCGCAGCCGGGTTGGGAGTCCTGGGAGGTCTATCCATTGTTGGCCTGAGCTCTTCTGTTGTGAGCTCGCTATCGTCGGTGATGTGTACGTCCAGTTGATATCGACTACAGATTTCTTTTTCCTGGTCCCTATCAATGAACAGGTACGGTGGGTCTTCTGTGAGGATAGGTCGTGTTGGATGCTCGTAGTATCGATTTGGGCAAAGATAGTTCGTGCAGGTGTTTAGTTCTCGGTCGTCAGTGACGTGATAGTTTTGGGCGTCTTGAAAGTTGTAGACGTGTGCGAGAGCTGCGCAAACTAATCGGGTGTCTGCCACTGTGTCTGACTTGTTTCGGAGAACTGAAAACGGGTTTATAAATAGTGGAAGGGGAGTTCCTCGAATAATTGTGCTATTTCTATTTCGACGAGGTGGTCAAGCGTGTAATCTGAGATATACGGGTCGAGGATTCTTTCCTCGTCGTAGTATATGTATTCGAAAACTATGTACTCGTCCAGCTTTTACTACTTCTAGTCGAAATACCCGTTATTCCAAACCGCGCGAAGCACTTTAAAAACCTGGACTCGGTTACACCGCAGTCCTTTGAAGGAGATGCCTCCAATCTGTTTCAACCCGGAATCCCAGCGATTCCACTCCTCGATGCTAATAACGCGGGACACGTCTTTGAGCGTGCGATCAAAGTGAGCAAGGCGGTCACGGAGTTTGAAGACTGCGCTGATGTCATCGGTGAGGACGTCGGAGCAGTCGAGCGTCTCTAGGACGTTGAAGCGTTTGAGGGTGGCAGCAAACTTCAGTGTGAAGATGCAGGCGAGGTCGGCTGCCGAGTACTTCGAGAAGTCGATGGTGACAGATTCTGGAGCGATGGGAGTGTAGGTCGGAGCAGCGGTGAGGCGTTCTGCTAGAGAGCGGCTGCTGGAGGAGCTGGCGTGCGTGTTTTGCCTAGCACAGGCTTGGTCGCGTTGTGCCTGGAAGTGCTGGCGGTCGTTGTGCGCCACAAGTTTGGCCTGCTCGACTGCGTCCTAGTTGATGGTCAGGAGCACGGTGGAAGGAGGCGGGAGTGTGGAGACGTGCCGGACGATGGCGCGGAGCTCAGCGGTGGTGTACTGGTGGGGGGCACCTGCTTCGCGTTCTCGACTAAGTTGGTCAAATACGGCTTCGGGCAGCGCGCGGCGGAGGCGGGGGTGACGCTCGTCCGCAAGGCGTTTGAAAGCGCGAGAGCGGTTGGGCAAATCCTTCGGCACTGGTTTTATGCAGGAATTAGGGCTACGCGCGTACGTCTGCCACCAATCGCCGAAGAGACTTACTCTTCAAACGGTGGGAATAAACTTTTTAAAACTGTGCACGAGGCACTGGATAGGGGGTAATGGTCCGGGTGCACGAAGATCTCAACCTAATGATGTGGACTTGCGTCGACACACCACAAGGGATACTGTGTGGATCTAATCAGAAGGCGGCGTCGACGGGGTCTGACGACTGTGCGCTAGCTTATTCAGCTAGCCCAGTTAACCAAGTGTATTAGTGAGTGTTTTACTACGATACAACTGAAAGCTTACCTAGCCCAGTTAACCAAGAGGTTGAGATGGGGCTAGGTAGCGACAAAGGGACTCCTTATATACTAGTCAGGCTGCGCACGGACCAGGCGTTACATAAGCGACTGTGCTACGGTGGCTGCTAGTGTCTAGGGGACTTCGGCAGAGGAGCAAGGGCCAGTGTGTCATAGCGTATGACGTTGTCAGGCTGACAGAGATAGGGTGTCCGTTGCCGATCGGACTCAGAGGTAGTCGGAGGCTGGTGTGTCATAGCTTATGATATTGTTGGGCCGACGGTGATCGGATGTCCAGTGGGGATCGGAGTGCGGCTGTTACCGAGGAAGCGTGATGCAGTGTCGAGGCGGCGGTGATATGGGCGCGTTTTGATGCGCTGATGCGTGCCCATTGGTGATGCGTTCTTAAGGTGTTAGCGCATGGCTAGGACTTGTAAACTGGTGCCAATGCGCCGATGATGTTTGGAGGGCTGTACAAACATAGGATAAATCATAGAAAATTGGGGAAAATGAAGAATAAAATGGGAGGCCGGAGCTATGCCCACGACACCGTGGTCTACCAAGTTGAGCACAGTAAATTTGAGTCAACCCAGGTAGATGTGATATTCACTGAGATTCAGTACTGATATGGCGTTAATTTGTATGGGACAAACACGCGTAAAATTTTCGGCAACAGACATACCTTATCTGAAGTTTCGAACAGAAGAGACTAGCACCTGTAATTACATAGGCGCCTTTGCAATTCAGCGATACTCATCATTATCAGCACCTTAGCCATCTTATATATGCCGAAAAATTCAATAATATATAATATAATGTTTGCAGTGTGGTAGAATATTTGAGAATACTAGCTGTTGTGCTAGACAGTGACGTCTATCCGGCATGCTTATGTCAGAGCGCTTTTGTCAGTTTGAGCCAATGAGCAAAGGGCGCCTGTCTGCCTTGGGCTTCTTTCTTTCTTTCTTTTTCCCTCTGTTGAAGTGACACTGGGTGGTAAGGGCATTTTTTTTGGTGGGAAAATCGGTTTGAAACTGATGAAACAAGAACCTGTCTTCCCACGATCTTCAACAATGAAAGACAAGACAAAACTTGAAGACTTTTCCTCAGTTTTCTGCCCTGGATGACTAAGATAAAACTCGGAGGTCGTGGCATGATTTTTCCTTTCATTTTTGGTGTAGACATTAAGTCTTTTATCCTTGCTTGTCAATGCTGAAAAAACATGAGTTGTTACCGCAGATAATTTCACCCAAAATATGGCCTAAATAGGCTATCTTATATCAGATTTTCTTTGCAGAAAAACTAAAAGTGACTCTTTGGGTGTCAAACCGCCGGACAATTCAGTGTACAATTCGGAGTTTGATCACAAATGTGGCCAAACTCTGAATTGTACACTAAGTTGTCCGGCAGTTTGACACCCGAAGAAACTGTGACCTAAACTTGAACGCGCGCCTAGTTTTTCTGCAAAGAAAATCTGACATAAGATAGCCCATTTAGGCCACATTTTGAGTGAAATTATTTGCAGTAACAGAATGCTACCATTCTCGTTTTTTCAGCGTTGACAAGCGAGGATAAAAGGCAACAATATCTACACCAAAAATGAAAGGAACAACCACGCCACGACCTCATAGTTTTATCTTGGTCATTTAGGGCAAAAAACTGAGGAAAAGTCTTCAAGTTTTGTCTTGTCTTTCATTGTTGAAGACCGTGGGAAGACAGGTTCTTGTTTCATCGGTTTCAAACCGATTTTCCCACCAAAAAAAAACGCCCTTACCACCCAGTGTGACAAGCTTTTTGTAAATGGCTGTAATCTTGTGCAACTCCGGGGTGACCAGTGCTAGTGACCGGTGACCGGTGATCGAGCGATATCGTGGGCAATTTGAACATGTGATAGCCGACTGCATAGATACATAGCGGTCAGTCTCAAGCGCCTGATGTGCGGTGGGTCGCAGGTTCTCAATACAGAAGAATTCGCCAAAGACCGTGCACGTAGTGGTATTACAAAGTAAACGAGTTCAGCATTCTAACCATTCTGCACACAGATCAAGACTTCATCTCTGTATCTTCCTCCTTCTTCGCCAGATCATGCTTGCGCAACAAGGAGTCGATCTCAGTCGGACGATAAATCTTCGCTTTAGGTCGCTTCTCCGCATCCAATGTCAGTGTAGCGAATTCCACTGTTGCAGCTCAATCAGCTGCATGCACCACAAAGATAAGGCACTACGCACACTTCTCGCTGCCAAGCGTGGTGCTATCCATTGTCTTGCTCATCACGCGCAGAACAAGCGAGATTGCGTCTTCTAGAGTGATATCCTCTTTGTACTCTTGCTTGAGTAGGCTCTGCGCCGTACCGCTGTTCGCGCCGATGCTGGTCGCTTTCCAACCCGAGTAATTCCCTGATGGGTCTGAGTGGTACAGCTGGAAGTTGAAGTGCACGTCGTGGCCAGCGTAAAGCAGCGAGACGCCGAAAGGACGAAGACCTGGATGTACCATCAGCACGCTAGCATCTCTCGAAACACAATTCCAACCCACCTCCGTACTGTGTGTATCCCTGTTTAAGGTCACATAGCCGCTGGGCGAGCATCTCTACGGGGATGTCTTCATTGTACATGTACAGATGCCTTTGCGCAGCTTCGCGTGAATAGTTGACCAGCGAGTTCGCATCTGCAGTGATACCCGCAACGCCAGTAATAACATTTCTGCATGGGTTATCAGAGAGGTAGCGTATGACGATGGCGCAAACAACGCACGAGTTCAACAGGAAGATCTTCTCGCCACTTCCGCCATATCCACCCTCCTTCGCGCCAGACAAGTCAAGTAGCTTGCCTGTAACCTTCTTCTCCGCGGCCAGTACTATACCATCTTTAGCCAGGACCCCCAAGACTGTCCCTGCGTGCGAGATAGCCTCCATGGCATACTCGACTGCCCAGCGCGGTAAGACCGTGTATGCTAGCATGAATAACACGCTTACTCTGATATAGACGGCCTAATAGAGAGATGTAAGTGTTGCTTATCCAAAGGTGACAGATCATGAAGCGCACCCTCGGGCGAGAAGATGGTGGTGCGGCCTGCCCATCGTCGATGTCAATGATCCCAGCGAAAGTCTTTGAGTAACCACATACTATCATAACGTCTGGCCTAGGAAATTGAGATGTAAGCTGCTTATTGTGTCAAATCATAAAGCAACGAGACCCACCATGATGGACTAGGAAGATGCGAGAATGAGATGAGTACTCAAGTAGAGCTGGAATACGCGTCTGCCTACGTACGCGTCGATCGGACGTTGCCGATGCACACGCCGGCGCCTACCCGTACCCCCACTTTGTGAGTGCTCGGCCGCTGCGCTTCCACTTGGCTTTCACTCACTCCCCTCGTCGACGCACACTTCATACTGAGGGGCGATTGGCCTATTGTACTGAATTTTCCACCCTAGACATGAACCACGGGGATCACGATGGGCACGGCGGGCATGACATGCCCGAGTCGCAGCCCATGAAGCGGTGTTCTATGAACATGCTCTGGTGAGCATATTTTATCCAGCGCAATGCAGGCCATGCCCGGTGTCTTTTTTCTTATTTCCCCCCTTCCAGGAACACCCAGATTGAAGACACATGCATTGTCTTCCGTTCGTGGCACATCTCATCAACGCATGCCTTCATCTTCTCTTGCCTGGCCATCGTTGCCCTCGGCATACTTTTCGAGTGGCTTCGCGAGGCGCAGAAGATCTCTGACACCAGAATTGCCGCTACACTCAGCGGGCAGAACAAAGGCAAGGCGCGCGGCGGGACGGTGAGTGGTCGCAACTCACCTGAAATCGAGGGCGAAGAGGCGGGATTGTTGACCGGTGTACGGGCCGTGAAGGGACATAACGGGTACGGGCGTGTTTGTGCAAGTGTATCGACTGTGTTGACTTCGAGACAGGACCCGCGTCCCGATCAGTATGCGCCTCAGTCGTGCCACGCTCTACGGTGCACAGGTCTTCCTGTCGTTCTTCCTCATGCTGGTCTTCATGACATACAACGTGAGTCTATTCGGATTTAGCACCTCCTTCATGACATTCTTAGGATTGTCTTATATGTTTAGGCGTACCTCATTCTGTCCACCGTTCTGGGTGCAATCATCGGTCACTACATCTTCAACTCGCACATGGATGTCGAGGCCGTGTTAGCCGGCTCGCTTGGCGCAGGCAAAGGGATGGCCTGCCACTGAACTCTGTACGACAGATACTTCTGTACTTTGACCGTCGGATACCTGGAGTTACGTGTTCATTTCTCTACATTCACAATAGTTTCCGGGTTTGAGGCTGCGTTGTAATGTCAGGATCAGGATCTGCTCTTTTATGCACTACAATTCTACCAGCCGAGGGATCGAAGCGTGAGACTAACGTAGCCTGCGCACGATCGAGAAGTGCAAGTTGATAATGCAGCAGTAACAAAGAACAGATATCGAGAGCAAAAGGGAGTAGTGCAACAAGTGAGCGAGGCCCTTGCTCCAGCGCCAAGTATTCATGTGAGATGTATAATCATCGGCAAACATGCCCGTACTGCGTGGAGGGTCCTTCGCATTGTTTTTAACTTTTCCTCGGGAATACACAGCTCATTTACCGCCTGATTCCACGAGCGGCAGGAACACCACGACCGCGACGAGCTGGAAAGCGCAGTTAGCACTACGTACGGATCAGAAGGTGCTTGTGCATGCGTACCGTTTGCTGCAAGACAGACGCAAGACGTTAGACATAGAGCGACGAGGAGCTTGGTCGGGGCACACACCTCTCATGATAGTAGCCCTTCCACGAGCCGTACCAATACCTCTTCCTTTCATAGCGTTGGGCCCGACACGCTTGAACCTAGGTAGAGATGAGACGAATGTCATACAAAAGGTTGGAAGATAAGGATCGCGTACATTGGTGCGTTTTGCAGCATGTCTGGTACAATAAAGAAGCGAACCATACTACCGCGGATGTATACCTGGTCAAGCTGCGAAACACGACCGTCACGACCGGTTACAGTGATATCCTTCAAGGCAATATTCAGGTTGTCCTCGGCTAGACAGATACGCAATCCGCTAAGGTCATTCTACCACCTTATACAAACGGTAGTTTTTGCGCGCACCTTCAGCGAGTTTGCCACGGTAGAGATGCCCTGTCTTCAGCTCCACGGTGATAACATGTCCGAGGGATTCGTGAAGGAGCTTAACGGGCACACCGAGGCCAGAGGTGGACATGGTTGGTGAAGGGACGTGCAAGTGCGACGGCGCTCAGCAATCCCAGGCACTTCCGAATGTGGCAGGCGCATCAACCAGACCTCGTCCCAGTTTGAGGAAGCGCCCGGTACTTACCTCAGAAGAGAGTTCAATCAGGAATCTCAGCGTCCCACGGGATATTGGCAGTGGCAGAGGCTGCCAGATTGCCTTTGCTCACTACCTCCACCACCCTCTCTACCTGCAAGCAGCCTACAAGTTAAGCCACACTCTCTTTCAAGTTGTGAGTGCATACAGTGTGCGTATCGTGTGCAAGAAGTCGGCTCAATGATTCGCTATCACGACGCGGTATTGTAGCCGACCCCAATTCAAAGCCTTCTAGATTCGTAATGACCTCCGCGGGAGGTCCATCGCTAAAGCGTCGCCGCTCGAACACATCGCCGGTCCACGAAGAGGTACCGTCTGGGCCTTTGAGTGGACCATCGACTATACGATGGCGTCAGCAACGCCTGCTTTCCATTAGACGCGAGCGAGCGCAGGACGGAGAGGGAGAGAGTGCTACGCTAAGTGTTGACTCGCCGCGCAACAATTATGGTACCATGCCGGCCATTCCCCGTCGAAATAAGTCGAAGCTCAACCTTCGACACGGGCTCTCTTCTCTCCAGGGCCTTGTCATTCCCAAAGCCATCTCTAATCCAGCTTCCTCCGCTGAATCATCTCCTACATCCTTTGTTGAACACTTGTCTTACTTGCGCGAACGACCCATATCTGCGTACGACAGGTCCAATTATGCGGGCACTCCCGAGGCAGGAAGCACGGAGAGCGACGTGAAGACGAACGGCATACGCGTCTGGTACTCGTCCTTCACCTCTATTGACTGGCTGCACGATGTTATCAAAGACTCAGCACGTCAAGCGCGCCTGCGACGTCGAACGTCTCTTCGAAGTAAAGCTCAGCGGTCCGTTGACCGAACCGTGGGATGGTTCGTGGTCTCCATCATCGGTTTTCTCACAGCCGTTATCGCATTCTTGATTACACGAAGTGAACAATGGCTCTTCGACTTCAAGGAAGGATACTGCCGCCCTGCCTGGTTCAAGTCTAAGCGTTTCTGCTGCCCCATTACCGACGACGTGACGCTTAGTTTCACACCTGCTTCTGCGTTTTCTGGTGCCGAAGGGGATGGCTGTTCCAACTGGCGAACCTGGTATAGTATCCTTGGTCCTGTTGTTGATGGCAATCCTTGGTTATCGTTCGAGTCGGAGATGGTTGAATACATCGCGTATGTTGCGGTCGCCGTGAGTGTCGTGTAATATAATAAGTAACGTCCTTATGAATTATATTTCCATAGCTTACTTGGGCTATCATCTCTTGTTTGCTAACCATATATCTAACCGCCTCCACGTCGTTCGTTACTCGCAAAGATTCAAGCATATTGGCACCTCCCATCGCGCCGGTAGAAGACGCCAAGGCTGTGGAACCGGCTTTGGTCGACCCTAAGCGAAAGGTTCTATACTTCGTGAGTTGACATAGATATATATCCGTGCTACCGTTCGTTGTATGCCCCTTCCGTGGGTCTTTCTAACCCCAATCATAGGCCGCTGGTAGTGGCATTCCCGAGATCAAGACCATCTTGTCAGGTGCGAATATTCACTGACATGCACTGTACAACGCAGCTCATGCACCCTTACAGGTTTCGTCATCCACGGCTACCTCGGCGGTAGGACATTGTTCACAAAATCTGTCGGACTCGCGCTATCCGTAGCGTCCGGTTTGTCTCTCGGGAAGGAAGGTCCCTTCGTACACATTGCTTCTTGTGTAGGAAATATTGTCAGCAGGTCTGCCCCATATGTACATATTAACAACCCAGCGCTGATCTGATTGTAGATTTTTCGAAAAATACGAGAGTAATGAGGGTGAGATCGCATGTGCGGCCAGTTTCGACATGGCTTAAGTCATCTGCTTTAGCGAAGCGCCGTGAAGTTCTCAGTGCTGCTTGTGCTGCCGGCGTCGCTGTTGCTTTCGGAGCTCCTATCGGAGGTGTACTATTTAGCTTAGAAGAAGTGTCGTACTTCTTCCCCGCGGAAGTTATGTGGAGAAGGTACGCGCATATGCTATCATGCAGGTTAAGATTGACACTTATTTTCAAACAGTTTCTTCTGTGCCATGGTCGCCGCGATGACGCTCAAGTTCCTCGATCCCTTCGGAAGTGGTAAACTTGTGCTCTTCCAGGTTACCTACGATAAGGTATGGGCTGTCGACCATATCAGCTCCATTCGAATGCTAAGACGAATTTAGGACTGGCATGCGTATGAGCTCATTCCTTTTCTCTTTCTTAGCGTCTTCGGTGGCGTCTGGGGTGCCTGGTTCTCTAAATTGAACATCCGTTGGGCCAAACATGTCCGTAATGGCACTTGGTTGAAGTGGCACCCTGTTTTTGAGGTCGTTCTGGTATGAGTGAACCCTCCGTTTTGACGCTCAGCAGGGGCTAACTCTTGCCTAGGTCACTCTAGCAACAAGCCTACTCTGTTTCGTCAACCCATATACCCGCATGAGCGGCACAGAGCTCGTCTACAACCTTTTTGCTGAGTGCAAGACTGGCAGCCCGAACACGCACCAGGGTCTCTGCGTGTTGAATCCGCCTGAGCAGGCCCTGCCCCTAATCACAGCCATCGGCGTCGCCATGGTCATCAAAGGTGCTCTGACCATCGTAACTTTCGGCATCAAGCTGCCTGCCGGTATCTTCATCCCGAGTCTTGGTGGTAAGTGCTGGGTGTATGCACGTGATGTAGTCACGGCTTATGTGTCTGCTCTAGTCGGCGCCTGTGCAGGGCGCATCGTCGGCATTCTCGTACAGTGGGCACATTTCAGGTACCCTGGCAGTCCCATCTTTGCAGCCTGCAATGGAAATTTGAACTGCGTAGTTCCGGGCCTGTATGCCATGGTTGGTGCAGCGGCTAGCTTGTCCGGTGTCACGCGTACCACCGTATCCCTCGCAGTCATCATGTTCGAGCTCACGGACACCCTGACATACGTGGTCCCTGTGATGCTTGCAGTGTTGGTGGCGAAGAGTGTCGCAGACGCACTCGAGCCGAAAGGTATCTACGACCTGGTTATCGAGTGAGTTCTGAGTAATTCTCTCAATTACTATCTGTGCTTATCGTTTTTAGGCTCGCGAACCTTCCCTACCTCGATCCTAAACGCGAGTACAGCTGGGCGGGCCACCAGATCAGTGACGTGGTGAGTAGCGCGTTGTTTATAGCTTGATCATCTCGGCGCTCACCAGTCGCCACTTCAGACGGACCGTGACGCTGCTATCATCCGCGTAAACCAGGAGAATAATGTGAAGAGCCTGTGTGGCAAACTCCAAACTCTCGTCCTTTCCGGCCGCCACGACAGCGGTTTTCCGATCGTGCGGAAAGACGATAGCGGCTCGCGCATGGTGGGCTACATCGGAGTAAACGAGCTCGAGCACGCCCTGAGTGAGTACTTAGCAGCTAACCAGACTGGATGCGATGGGACGAAGTCTCACGCGGACACCAGGTATTGTCGCCGATCACCCAAACAGAGTCATCGTGTTTCACTCAACAACATCATACGAACACCCCGGCACCATGGCGTCATCGTTCTCATCCACTGCTGGAGACACGAGCCCTATGCTGGGCAGTGCCGATCCGTTCGATCTTAGCTACTACATGGACCAAGCACGTTGCATACTACTTCTCGGATTATATCCATGCTGATTAAATTGTCTCGTAGGCTCCATTGACTGTCCAGTCAAATTCACCCCTGGAGCTTGTGCAACAACTATTCACGAAGCTCGGTGCACGATACATCGTGGTAACTGACACAAATGGATACTGTGAGTAATCTTTATTACTCGAGATTATCGCATGTATCTCAGTCATCTGCCGGTAGACGAGGGTGTCATCGACAAGAAAGTCTGGCTAGCGTTCCTTGAAGAGGTGGAACAGACGTAGCCTCGTTTCAGCCATTTCATCCCGTCTGACATCCGTCCCCCCCCCCCCCCCAGTCCCACCTACCGCGAAACAATACCCGCTATTACCTGACACAATAATCCTACTTCACTTCACGAACTGTTACGACCCAATACCCTCAGTTATCAAATCCCCCTTCATTTCATATCAATGTCGCTGCCGCCAGACTAGCATGCTTCTCTTTTGAGCCTACTCTATAAGTATATGCAACACCACATCGCATTTTAGCTCTAATTTACATACTACCTACGCATCTGCTGTATCATCATGACGCACGAATGTATTCAGGACGAACAACTTCAGCGGTCTGTACGACAGTCCCGGTGCGCGGTATCCCTCTCAAACATTCTGTAACCCGATGCAACTCGACCTGTGGCGGCGTTGTGTTTTGACCTCAGGCCGAAGCCAAGACTATTGAAGCTGGAATAATATACGCGACGTGACTTCATCTGCACCGGAAGAGCCGAACTGAAGAAGGTTGTTCTTAAGAATACATTGTTGTCGAGTACGAGACGATTAAGATGCTATGCTTGCGCATGGCCAGCTCACTGACTGTCTCGTTTGCCGTCTAGTTAGAGCCCTTCTTCTCACTCGTCAACGCACGCATCGACCAGTGCACAGTGCATACCGCACGGACGCCGTGAATGACGAGAGGGAGCCACATGAGGCACGTACATACTCTGTGCATGGCTCCACACACCATGGGAGCTCGAAACGATCTAGTAGTCCTGGCGATTGCAAGAACGGAGACGTCCGTGGAGGATCACGTCTGCCGACGGCTGAGCAAGGATTAGTCGTAGCCGCAGGTCTTTGCAGCGAGTGAGCTCTTGATGATCGAGTGCAACGAATCACATGCCGTTCCAGGTGACCATTTATTGGGCCCAAGTCACGACCACCGACGTCAGCGACCACGATAGCACCTTCTCCACTCATTATGAGAGCCTGAGGCCCTCCAACGAGACGGTAGTTTACATCGGTTAGCGGTGCGCAAGGCCTTCCTTGCTTGGTGGCTTATCTCTACGTCCGATCTATTGTTGAACCTTTTCGCGACTCGGATGCATGGGATTGTGAGGACAAGCGACATCAGTTACATGCGAAGGAACGTACTTTAGGAGCACGATTCATTTTCCCGGCATGGGTGTACAAACAATACTAAGATTTCCTATCATTGGAGCAGTCTCCTCTTAGTTTCGCGACGAGTGTCTGATACCTACATGTCCAAGGTGGCAATGAACTGCTATTCACGAGGCTCTGACCGGGCAACTAGCTGCGAAAAAAAAAAGTGAGAACACAACCTGACAGGTATTCAAATAATGACTTACCATCGCTACGACTCCCACCGGACAGCCTGGTAGTGTGGCGTCGGCAAAGGAAGCATGCAGCTTTTGCAGTTCCGTGAGCAGGCTAGCCGCCTTGGACAACGTATTAAACTGTGATCTGTCAACTTCAAACACTCCGTGATGTCGGAGGGGCCGCTAATTCAAAAATGCAGGGAAGGTGAATCCCAACTTGCCGAGTCCGAGTGTCATTGATCATCCGGAGCTCAGCTCATGCAGGCCTCAGGGTCGGTGTATTGAGTATACCTTCCTGCGACATATCCGCATAGATAGATGATAAATATTAAATTACAGTCACTTGCCATGCACAACATCTTCAGGTACCGCGATTTCCTCCGGCTCTCCGTCCTTCCGGTCTTCGACAGTCCGGAAGTCTAATTCGCCGAGCAACCTCTTCAACTCTTCTATTGCAATGTCCACCTGCTCCTCCGTCGTCTTATCCAACGGCACCACCACAACCCCGCCCTCGCCTTCGGGACTCTCGAGCGTCGCGAGTTGGCTGTCGAGCATCTGGGGTTTCATGAAATGCCCCTGACGATCGACTATCCGCTCCCGCAACAACGCCTCTTGTGCCTTGATGTACACGAAATACGTAGCGAGCCGTGCCGGCATCGCAGACTCGAGATGCTTCGGCACGCCTTGTGCCTTACATCTGCCGCGAAGGATGTCGCGGTAGTAGCGCTTCAGCGCGGAACAGGTGACCATGACGCCAACGCGTTGCGACGAGTTATCTGAGGACGACTTGCCCTGTTGCTCGGCGACCATGTGCTCGGCGGTCGTACGGATGATCTCAAGCCACGGCTCGCGGTCCGCATCATTGAGTGGAATGCCGTTCGACATCCTTTCGATGTTGCCCTTTGGGTGTAGGTCATCGCCCTCAATGTATGGGAGGCCCAATTTCCTGTTCAAAGCCTTTGCAAGTGTGGTCTTTCCGGTACTTGCCACTCCCTGCGTCCATATAGATATGGATCAGTATTCAAAGTCACAAGACATAATTGCCTACCATGACCACAATGAACACAGGCAGTTTCCCGTCTCCAGGCTCTATTTCCAATGTCATTTTAAGAGTGAATCAGGGTTGACAAGCTTGAGTGCAAGGCGAGATGTGTTGTGGTCGAGAGAGAGAGTCATGGCCGTAGTTATAAGGTTCCCTGCTAAGTTCGGTCATCGATACTCCAGGGGCGGAGCCCACGGTCCGACTGGCCGTACAACTCCAACAATTCTTGCGTGAATTCTTCCTTCAAGATCCAAACTTCAGGCTCGCAAAGTCTGGATGAGGAAAATGAAAACGAGGATGTTGCCGTACATCCGGTACAAACAGGATATGGAGACCGCGTCAAGATATCATTGCGAGACATGCAATTAAGGTTACAACACAAACACAGTAACACGCGGCAGACGACACCGAGAACATGACTATATGCGGGAAAGTGCAAAACGTACAACGTGCACGAGAGGAGCAAGAGTTAGTCGTCCCTCATTTCGTCGTCCTTGGCGTCATAGGTGTCCTCTTGTTCCGCGTCCTCGTTGAGTTCCTCGGGCTTGATGCCGGCCTTTGCGAGAGCTTCCGGAGAGGTGTAGTCGACGCGAACACCGCGGGTGCGGCGAGGCCGGATGACGGATGGATCAATGTCGTCCAGAGACTCTTCCTGCAGCACGGAACAACGAGACGTCAGGTCAACGCGTCGCTAAGATGTTGTACTCAAAGGGTTTCCTCACCTCCGCCATTTCTTCGTCTTCGTCTTCGTCTTCCTCGTCATCCTCCTCCTCGTCATCCTCGTCATCCTCAATCATGGAATCATCCTGGACAATTTTGCCCTTGCCCTTGTCATTGTTGAGCTCTTGGTTTGAGATTTCGACTTTAGAGCTGTACGTTTTGTGAGCCACTGAGCAAGCTACTAAGGGCGGAATACAAACGCAGAACCGGCAGCGGCGGCATCGGTGGACATTTTTGGAGGGATATACGATAGAACGGATCGACAGTGGTTGCGCGAGAGAGAAACGCGTCGCGTCTGCAAACGTCACACGGGAGTCCCATCACTGTGACCGTAACATCAACTTTTTGTGACCGTACGTGCGACCCGACGCCCGCGGCCGACGCCAGCAGCTTTGAACATCTTTTGAGCGATCTTGGTGAATGTGCACTGTTTGATGGACACCGGTGCGGTCTGCGCTTGCACTCTGGATCAGCTGTTTCCGACGAAGTCTATCATGCACTAGGAGCGTATCAATGATTCTCGTGCTGGCCTGAAGGTGCTGTCGCGAGTACACTTGGAGTTGTTATGGGCGTTGTGGCGCCGCTGAGCTCAAGATGGTGGCAGCATGCCACAGCCTAGAGCACGTATCCGCAGCCTTTCGGTTTATTTACATGCCCGGATTGGCGGGTTCCATATAGGTCTCTAACATTCCAACGAGTGTCGCATAACGCCGGCATCGGCGATCCCGCCGTTCAGTGTTTTTACATACTCGGGTGCATCTGTTATGCCAGCTAGCTAGTGTACCTGACACACTTCATTCTCAATCGATATCGTTTAGGAGCGAACACCTGGGTCCCGCAGCAGCCCCACAGCCCAGAAAGTGGTACTGTCTTCCACGAGCGGCTCAGCGCGTCGACTTTCCCGCATATAGAGAAGGCTTTCAAGACAATCCTGGAAACGATGTGAGAAACGTCGCCGTATTCGCGACAAATGTACCGTTGTCATGGTCGGCTGTGCAGATCTAGGGACCCCACGAGGGCGGCTTGTAGAGGAAGCAGGCCTATCAGATGGACATAGTCTGACCTTACGTAATTTGCCCGCATCAGGAGCGCGCCTGCGTCCCTGGCGTCGACGCCAGACTCGCGATTGTCCTGCGGGCCTTGTCTTTTTCCTTCTTGTCTCATCTTCGTCATGGTCAAGGGGTCCTTCATTACCCCCTTCTTGCTCGGGAGCAAGTCTAGCGACTCAACAACAGAAGACCAGCCCCAGTCCGTGAACTCTTCTAGGATGTCGGCGTCGAGATTCCCCTCGCTGCGCAGACTCGAGACATCGTCCTCCGACATGTGCAACATGGCCAGCCGACCGACAAGTCTGCCCGTCAAGCTGAAGTCCGATTACGACGCGCCAGCAAAATCGTCGTCGAGCAGCTCGAACACCCTCCTCCATCTCAAGTTCTCCGGACCATCCTTCCTCGATGTAGTAGCCAAAGACAGAGAAAACAAGGAGCCGATGTACATCATTGAAACCGTGCGCGACATTACGACTGTCTACCGACTCGATCACAGGACCAAGGAAGCTATCCCTGCGTCTAGCGTACAGTGGCCGCAGACCATTGTCAAGGGCAAGACGTCGGGAAGGACAGTACAGATAGGAAATGGTAGATGGCGAGACACGGAGGACTTTTTAAAGTTTGGGACACTGGCAAACTTCGCGTAAGTATCTACTTGCTTCACTGTCTTTGGAGCCCCGCGGTATGCTCCTAAGATTCTATGTCAAGCTCAGGCAAGCGCGATCTGCGAGCAGAAGCGGACAAGGTCGCGAGCTACGACCTTGTTCGAGGACACGAAGCCGCAGGTCAGACTTCTCGGTCGCGGCTATTGCGACCGCTTTCTTGACTGCAGTCCGCCGTCTTAGGCCATTATATTGTTCCAGACCCTCTGCATCCTCAAAATAAGGGTGTGTACTTACACTTTCGCTTGCAGAAATCGCAAGTTCAACATTCCACACTGGCCACACCCGCTGAAGTGGAAACTCGTGCCCGGCAATTCTTACATAGTACGTTTTTGCAGCTGCATCAGAAATGACATCCCGCTTATACGTGCGATAGTGTACGACGCAGGACATCAAGGGCCCAGTTGCGATCCTGGACGCGGCCGTTCTATCAGCGCCACCGCGGCTGCGCATCTACCATAACTTTATGACGGGCGACGCTGAGCGATCTCAGCGGGACAACATCAAAGGCGTGCCCATACTGCTAGTCGATTACCTTATGACCACCGCGCTGATCATGGTGACCGAGGTGCAAGAGTGGCTTGACCGCCCACAAACCGCGAATGGACGCATACGGATTCCGGGCAGCTCTCAGCCGGCTGTGCGGACTTGGCTTGCCATCATTCATGGGGAGTTCATTCCCGAGAGCCCAGACCCGCCTTCGCCCACGCTGACAGCCGTATCGTCGCTCTGGGATGAGAGTTCCAACAGATACTCGAGCGGGGCAGCATCCCTGTTTAGCGGCCTAACGACACCCTCGACGCCAGCAAGCTCCGCACACGGCCACGGCTCATTCGTTTTCCCGCGGGAAGAAGAGATCCCCCCTGTGCCTGCACTACCCGAGACGGTGCGTGCACTGCCATACGCGGCGTCCCTACCACAACAGACGTATGCGTCATTCGAAAACCTTTCTTCGCTTACGTTGCCGCAACCGTCGGCCTCGACCTCGTCACTCTTGTCTCCGGCTCTTGGTTCAAAACGAGGCAAGCGACCATTGCCAACGCCGCCTATCCTGAGTTCGCCTTCGGCGCCTCGCCCACTGACATCCCCAGGCGATGGTCCCACATCATCTTCGGATAACGCATCGTTCGAGCGCGACCGTCCATCTAGTCCGGCGTCATCAACCAGCTCGACCTCCATCTCTCGTCGGTCTCGCGTCGGTCGCTCTCTCACGATTGCAAACATGCCTCCGCTACAGCCACCGCCGAACCAAGCGCTGCCGCTACCCCCGAAACTGGCGCAAGAATTCCGTGGTTACACAGCTCCGGAGAGAAACGGCGAGACTAGTGCGTCTGCAAGCGCGTCGGTGCTGCAAGCGGCGAACCCGGATCCCCTCCCGCCGGACCAGGAGGGACGGATCCGACGCGATATACAAGCGCTGTCATTGTCGTCTATGCCATCGCCGCCGCCGCCACCGCCGCCGCCGATAATTGCCTACCCGTCGACATCTAATCAGAACGGACTTTTACAGGATGTGGGCGCGATCGGCATGGCGGCGGACAACCGAAGACACTCGTATGCGGAGAGTGTATACGAGCAACCTCCGCCAGCGTACGACGCGATCGACTTTTCGCTTCCTCAAGTGCTTTTGCCGCATCGGTAATCTTAGGCTGGACCTCTTTCTTCTGCGCTTCGAAGGTGGTGCCCTTATTTTTGATTGGATCTGCATACCCTAAAGCGATATTTACCCATACTTTCCTTTCATCTTCTCCGGCTGTAACTGACGTCTCGTTCGTGTATTAGATAAATCCTTTAAGTTCTGATTTCCTTTGCTCATATCTCCTGTCTGGCCATTTCGGTCGTACGTACAAAGCAAGTCTTGTCCTTCATTTTTGCCACAATCATCTTCCACACTCGTTGTAAATGGTACAATATCACCTCTTCCTGCTTACGTTGAACGGATGACGCCAAAGGAAAAGTGTGGATGTTATAATCTAGTCTTTGTGTATGCGTCCTATATGAGTGCGCGTAGTACCAGTTCTAACTTGCTAGGCCGACATTCGCGGCTTCAATAGCGCTCAGTCAGGATGTCGTTGTCGCGAGGCTCGTCGGGGCGCGCACTTACCCAATTAGTAATTGTGCGCATCAGCTGATGACTCACAATCAAGATCTGCGTCTGGGGCTGTGCGCACTGCTCAACTCCGGTACGTTCACTCCTCCAGGAAATGTGCACGAAACACTGACGCATGATGCCTAGAAAATATGACTAGCTACCTCTATGAGTTGCCTACGGCGGGAGCTATCTCTTTCGGCGACTTTTTGTACGACAAGTCCGCATCGTACATCTCAGAAGTCTCAGACACCACCGAGGCACGGGCGAACCTAAGAGCAGTTCTCAAGGAGAATAAGCGGTCTGACGAGAAGGATTTCCTGCGGCTTGTCAAGGTAAGAGAATGTCTGTGGGGTCTAATCGAGCTCACTGTCGTTCAGGTGCTAGACGACTACATTCCGAAGCTCTGTGGCATTATCGCCGCAGTGAACGCAGGTGAACTTGTCTTAAAGGCTGAACCAAGTGAGTACTATTGAATTACTACTACATAGTACATTAACCCATTCCCAGTATTTAGCTGGCGTACAACACTCTCTGCCTCTTTCTTCCACTCATCCCCGCGCCTGTCGGTGCCATCGCTGGCGGCGGAGCTCGCCTTTACACTACTCACGTACGCGTTTGCGTTGAGTAACATGGCACGTGCTGTTGTCCTCTCGCTTGGCACATATGAGACCGAATACGGCATCTCGGACGCAGATCGCAAGGCCAAGGACGAGCGGCTCGGGTTCGCGGTCACACTGCTGTGCAAGGCTGCGGGCGTCTTTGAGCACATCGCCAAGGAGGTTATGGGAGACTGGGACGCAGCGCGAGAGCGTGCGATAGCTGCAGGAATTTCCTGCCCACACCCGCCAGATCTCAGCAGAGAGGTGTTGATTGGCTTGAGCAAGTGCGTGCATCTGATCTTCGTACCAACTTAACAGCATACTTACTCATCTATAACGATCGCATAGGCTGGCTCTTTCTGATGCGCAGAACCTTGCCATTCGCAAACTGCTCACACGTGCAGCATTCGAGAGCACTATCTCGCCGGGGCCGCCACTGCCCAAATCGCACCCATCTCCCGCGCTCGCGGCGAAACTCCACCTCGAATGCGCGGCCCTTTACTCTTCCGCGCGCGCCCTAGTGAAGACACCCGGTGCCTCGCGTCACCTAGTCCCAACACAGTCCTCCTCTAAATCCAAATTCAAGCTCGGGTTCGGCAAGGACAAGTTTGCCGCCTCTACATCCACTCAGGATGGCGCAGACGAAGTCGTTCCTGAGCTCCGCCGCTACCTCGCGGACGAGGTGCTCTTGCACAACGCGCTCGCGCACAAATGGCTCGGCGTCGACGCAAGCGAGAACGGCGGCTCGCAGCAAAGTGGAGTCGCGGTCGGCTTTCTCACGTGGGCGCGCCAGGACCTCGAGGAGCTCAAAGGCGGCGCGAGCGGTGTTAACATTGGGGTAGTCATGGAGCGCGAGAGGGACATGAGAGAGGAGAGGAAGGCCAGAGTCCAGGCGGAAGCTGACAGTGTCAACGTGTTTTTGAAAGGGTATAAGCGGATGAACGACTCGGTATGGATGGTTTGAATGCCGTGTATGCGCTATCTTTGCTGACTTCGCCTTGTAGATGGCATTTCAAGCTGTTCCGCCGCAGTCCGATCTTCAAGCGTCAATCCCGGCAGGACGCATGGCGGTCGCAATTCGACCATATACGAGGCCTGTGCCTGCATTCGGCCCTGGATCGGCCGAGTACGTGCAACAGTACGCAGAAGCATTAGATTCACTCGCGAAGGAAGACGGAAGTGAAGTCGAGAGTGCAACATCGCTGCCGCCACCGCCACCGCCTTCTGGTGCTTCAGCGGGTGGTTATGCAGGAGCTGGGTCATATTTCTAGGGACAGCATGAACTTTTGTATACTACTAGTACCGCGCACGTTATGACATTATTCAGAACACAACCAATAATTCTCTATAACATGGTTCTGTCCTAGTACTTACATCTAGGACGAGCAATAGTGTCGATAAAAGGCTAGCAAAACAGCGAGAATTGCTGAAGGAAATCCGAACAAGAGGCAGCATCGCAATACTATTGAGTTATCTACATATAAATGCGGCAGATGTTTGCTCGGGTCGATGGCGTAGTTGGTTATCGCATCTGTCTAACACACAGAAGGTCCTCAGTTCGAGCCTGGGTCGACTCATCTTTTTCTTCATCTTCTGCCCGAATTCTTTTGAACTATTCCGTAAGGCTCCAACTGTTTAGTTTACGTGTAAATATTTTTGGTAAACACACAGTAAACAGTTCTAAACGTTTATAAACAGTTTTAAAACAGTAAACAAACAGTTGGTACAGATATTTGTTTAATCGTGCCAGAATAGCTTCTGACAAAACTGTGCAAGCCTATAGCTTGACACAAATACCTTCTGTGCTGGTTTGAGCCTGAAAAGGGGGGCACAAAAGCTGATGCTATAGCGGCGCGGCCGCGACGCATGCGGAGGCGCTCGCTCAATGTACGAGAAGACGAAGCCACAACTTCCCACCCAAGAATCAAGATATCATAGCAATATCCTCAACGGGCCCAGCGTGGCAGAGGGTTAAGGGCGCGCGAAAAGTTCCAATCAGTGAGGGTAGCATCGCGAGGTAGCATAGTACCCGAGGGCAGACTTGGCGACGAAGATGTCTGCGGAGCTAGCTTCATTGGAAGCATGCAAGATTGACTCTTAATTCAGGAGGTCAGCGCGTTCCATCGTCACCGTCAGGTAGTGGGCTAGCAACTGGTGCAAATCTCAGCTTGGTACTCTCGTAGTTGTACGATGTATACTGTACCTGTACAATCAGTCCAGTGCATCACACGTCACATAGCTCCCAACCGCCGCTCTCGAGAGCGGTGGTCACGTTGTCACAAGGGGTGCTGCCGCTTTCCACATTTTTTTCTGCTAAAATCAATATTCGATATTTTTGGGCCTGCAGCGCAAAAATTACAAGATGACACCTACATGCACTTTCCATAGCGCTGTTACTCTTCCTGTCCGTGTTGCTGTTCTGTCGGGTCACGCCTGGGCTGCCACCACCGTTTGACCACCGCATTCTTGACTGGTGTCACAGGTCACGGTCAAACTCGCCACTCCGCCGGACCGGTGGTCAACCGTCACTTGTCACACCCACTGCCAGACTGGTTGTACAGGTACAGTACTCGCATTAGGCTTTGAGAAGTGACCTAGAGAAAGCTGCTGCATGAGTGCAGACTTCGGTAGCGTGTCTTTTCCAGGGTCAACCATCACTTATCCCTTGCGACATGCTGCGCCGATAACACCACTCTTGTGGGCTGGCTTCAAGTTGTCTATAGTAGATTGGATGTAGTGGAGCAGTCAACACATACACAGTATTTCAATCTCTGCGATACTCACCTCTGGACTATGCTCAGCATGGGTTTTATTGGCATGACTGCTATCATATCTCTGGAGTGAGTCGCGACTATATGTGCGGCAGCCACAGCACAGCTGGCGCTCGATGCAGCCGCTGTGCCTCAGGAGTCCGAAGAGGCTGCCCGAGGATGATGCATGAGTGGTGAGGCACACTCTTCAGCTCACCACAGGTCAAATCTGTGTTGAAGCGCCTAGTGGCTCTGGCTCGGCGTTCCGCCCAGCATGGACTTAAGGTGGACATCTTAGATTAGGCGCTGCTAATACGTGGATAGTGATTGGACAATCGTATGTAGTGCTCCCACGCACGGACCTCTTTATGGCAGGCTTCTCCATTCTAGCAGACTTTCAATTTTGCTTCCCTTTAGTATATAAGGACTCCTCTCGCATCCCCACTGTCGTGGGCGTAGCCCCGGCCTCCCATTTTATTTTTCATTTTCTCCGATTTATTCCACGTTTATACGACCCTCCAAACGTCGTCGGCGCACTAGCGCCAGTTTACAAGTCCTAGCCACACGCCAAAACCTTGAGAACGCATCACCGACGGGCACACATCAGCGCATCAGACGCGCCTGTATCGCCGCCGCCCCGCCGCCGCATCACGCTTCCTTGGTAACAGCCGCACTCCGATCTCCACCGGACATCCGATTCCCGTCGGCCCGACAACGTCATACGTCATGACACGCCAGCCCCAGTTATCTCCGAGTCCGATCGGCAACGGACATCCCATCTCCATCGGCCCGACAACATCATACGATATGACACACCGGCCCTCTCTTCTCCGCCTAAGTCCCCTAGACACTAGCAGCCGCCGTAGCACAGTTGCTTATGTAACGCCTGGTCCGTGCGCAGCCTGACAAGTATATAAGGACTCCCCTTTGTCGCTACCTAGCCCCATCTCAACCTCTTGGTTTATTGGGCTAGGTAAGCCTTTGTTTATACCTTAGAATAGTCACTAATACAACTTGGTTTATTGGGCTAGCTGAATAAGCTAACGCACAGTCGCCAGACCTTGTCGGCGCCGCCTCCTCGTTAGATCCACCTAGTATCCCTCGTGGTGTGTCGACGTTAGTCCACATCACCCACTCTGCGTGCTCTTTCCCTTCGCACCCAGAGTAAGTCCCCTTCGTTGCTCTTGCGCAGTATGCACTTATGCTTATGCGCTGTATAGCTAATCCCCCGTGTGTATTAGGTTAGAATTATACAGTGTGCTCTTTCCCTTCGCACCCAGACTAATCCCCCGTGTGTATTAGATCGTGCCCGTGTGCCACTTGCCAGTTCGCGCTCGCACAGCCCAGTCGTCGTATCACGACAATAATCTGTTAGCAAGACTGCAAATGTATAACACTAGGACCTTCTACAGTTGACAAGAAGAAACTGTTTGTTTACTGTGTATAAACGTTTACACCGAGTTTACAAGGCTTTTTTACACACACGGAAACAGTAAACGGTAATAAACATTTATACACAGTAAACAAACAAAACGGTTGGAGCCTTACTATTCCGTGAATTTCGGTTGTGCGACCACTCCGGGTTTTTAGCCTCTGAGCATAGATCAGCTACAACGTCTCATTTGTATGTTTGATCTATAGCACCTCGTGCACTACTGTATCCACGGTCTGCGGATAATCAAATATGAGTCGCGGGGGGCAGCGAACGACGAATTACTTCTACCACGAGGGACACATACAAGAAGTTTGATTTACTGAATTACTGTGCTAGTTAACGCTAGTATACTGTAGCTAAAATGCGAGATATTATTTTCAGCTCGAGAACTTTAGGGACTAATAATAGTAGCCTCCGTGTCTATTTGCTCGATGATATTGAGGACCTCCCCGGCGCAGCCAAACAACAAGGTAAAGCCCGGCCTTCCTCAGCCGCATAAGTAGACGATTCTGCTTGGAGAGCCGTCACTCTTCTTGTAAAGTTCGTGCTGGACCATCACGTTCTCTGCGCGAGCAGGCTGTAGTCCCCTGGGCAGGGGGAGTGTGGATCGATCTCCGCACATTCGAGCAGGAAGCGGTTGCAGCGCTCACGCGTCCTCCGGATCTCGGGACTGTCAATAGTAAGGTCGATCTTGCCTTCGTTTAGCTGTGCCAGACCTGATGTCGGCTTGTTAAATAAGCGATACATTCGCTGAGTGCACAACTAGGGACGAACCACCGAGGATGGGCGTTATTGTTCTGGGGCACGATGAAGACAACACCACCATCTTCGTCACGCTTGTTCTCGTCATAAGCGACAACGTAAACTTGAACTTCTTCCAATTTCGCAAGCTTCGTCCTGTCATTGAAAACGCGAATGAGAGCACCGCGGAGTAAAGAAACAGTGCCGTCGCCAACGGCTTCGAGCGCACCCAAGCCGATGGCTTTGATTATGTACTGTGCGTCGGACGTTTCTAGACTCAAGAGTGTCCTCTTGCTCGAATATATTGCCGGAGACGCGGTGCGTAATAAATTGCTTGGCCTTATTCTCGACGGGTAGACGAGATCGCGCCATGTAAACATCTGTGTCAACGACAGGCGAGGCGTGCTTGTATGCGTCGACAGTGTCGACCTCCTCGCAGACAGCGAGCTTCCTCGGTAGCAGCGAATCCTCACGGATCCTGGGATTTGCGGAGTGAACAACGCTAATAAAACCGTGCTGGGGTGAACTGACTGTAACTCAGCCTCCTCAATATCGGGCATCTTCTCATATTTATCCGGGCAGCTCTCAATAGGCTCCTCGAGAATTTATTTGCAATGCGCATGCGGATGCCGTCAGTAGGAAAGAAAGTTTCTGCAGCGTGTGGAAGGCGCGGTAGGAAGTTATGCACCAGCCCTTCGAGAGCTCTAGTAGGAATGCCGCGTTTGTGTGCCTGCCGCACACTGCTGGGAGTAGTACTCCCACCTGAGTCACGGTAGGTTCTGTCAACCTCAAAGCGCTCATCCAACAAACGCACAGTGCGCCAGCGATCTGGGCCGTAATGCGGTCGAGTGATGCCCACCGGTCGTAGACAATTGTAACAGAGTAGCCAGCGTCGAGAAAAGCCCACTAGTGCAGTCTGATTCGACATCAGCGCCGTCAGAATAGAGTACTTCAAGTTCGCTCACCGTCAGACGAGTGACACCGCCACCAGCGACGATGATATGCTGTCCTCTAGTCATATGCACTCCTCGGCTGGAATGGAGACCTTGACGGACAACAAGCTCTCCGCTCTCCATCGTAAGGTATATGTCCGTTGATCTGGACATAGTTCCGAGAGCCAGGCCAGTTAGGGCCCGGACCGGGTCGAAGGCTGTGCATATAAAGGCACAATCGGGTCCGTCTGGCGACTGTCTTCACCGAGAACCAGGCTCTGAGCTTCCACTTTTGCTCTCAAGGAAGGAATAGGTAAAACGCCCGGCTGCCGCGCCATCGCAACTGCACGAGCAGTTCATTTCATGTACGTCAACAAGTGACGCACTCTGATTCGATCGGAGTAAACAGACGACCCTCACTTTTGCCGGCTGGGTCTGGCCACTCTGCAACGGAAACTAAATCAGAGGTACTTGGTCATCGTGTTAGTAGCCCGGTGACTGTACCCCTTGTTAGAGATGACTCGTATGGGTTGAAGGTGATAATCACTCAACCGAGCTCTCGCACAAATGAGGCACGGGAGCGTCGACGAATAAGGTGACATGCACGACAGTCCATGTGATTATAAATAAGCATGTACGTGGCATTATACGCAACTGACCGTGATGCGAGAGCACAATAATTCTCTACACGTAAAGGGTAAAACGTGCGCGTCATGGCGAGGTGCTCGCGTTACTGTAAGACCAGAAAGCAAACTGTGCCTATACTCTATCTCGAGCAGGAGCAGACCCTGAGAAAACGTATCTATACACCCAAAGCAGATAAATGTAATATTACTCCCAAGTGAAGAGTACGAGCCGCCGCACCAAACTAGGCGCACAGCGCACAGGAGGAGTCTAGTGCTTGCGGCCCTTCTTCTTCCTCAGGCCGTCGACTATCGCGCCAGCGTCGCTAATTGCGCGGGCGAGGCTGCCCTTAGAGTGCATATACTTCACTTCTTGTGGGGTGCCAATAATTTTGCCGCCTACCAATAGGATGGGCAGCTCCGAGGCCCCAGTGAGCCTTTCTAACAAAGGCCTCAACACCTCCTCATCCGCTGAGGCCAGGTCAGTAGGCGTGTTAGGTGACGAGAGAAGGCAAGGGACGTACGCCTGTACTCTACCGGGATAATCGCTGGCCCGGGTAACAAGTTAAGTTCCAGTATAATCTTTTCGAGATCTCGTGAAATGGGAGAGTGCATCTAGACTCATGACGTCAAGGTCCAGAACTCGACGATTGCGCACGGCACGCACCTTGGAGTAAAAAACGACCGGGTAGCGTACCCAAGCGTCGTGTTCAAGCTGAGCAATCTCGGTGAGCGCCTGGGGGTTCCGAGTGTCAAAGTCTAGGACGAGCTGAGGATCTATCGGCTTGGAAGGATCGACATTCGATGGGATGACATTCTGAGGCAGGCTAGCGAGGAAGGTGGTGACGGCGGCAAGCTCTTGCTCGGGGGTGAGCTGAAGCGCGGGGAGCGTGTCCGTGGTAGCGTCCGCTTCGAACGTGCTCGTCGTCGTGCCCTGTGGGCGCTTTCGATGTACAGCAGTGAGACGATGCGCTTTTTCAGACAAACGCGAGAGGCGCTGTGTGGCGATGCTGGCAAACGACTTGTCGCTGCCTTGTGGATTGCCGATCGGCGAAAGCGAGGGCTGAGAGACGAGCAAGACATATACAGAGACAACGACAAGGGTGAAGAGGGCGAGGAATGTTGTCCGCTGCCAATACTGTCTAGGCTTCCGTGCTGTTGAGTTCATCGAGGCTTGGAACTCGTTGAAGACGGCGAGCGGAGGCGTGAGAGGAGGGGCATCGAAAGAGATCTTGCCCATGTCAAGATGATGCGAATAGCCGCGACGGTGAGCCATAATAAACGAGTGTGGGTTAATTAGTGAAAGTCCTGAAGATGAAAAGAGTACAGAACAAAGGACGGGTCGGAGCAACTTCCATCTCTCAATCGGGCCCACTTTACCGCCGATCTTGATATTCACGCACCCATAAATGGACATATCAGCCAAAACTCTAGGAATTCTTCCTCGCAGCGTGTTTGCCTCGAGGCTCGACTCCCTCTCATCTTGGGTCCTCGCGGATGCCATCGCGGCGGCCGTGCAGCTCCATCTCCGCCGTAGCGTTCTCTCCGCGTAATCAGTGCTGTGCGGCTGGTGAGTGTGAGCTCCCTACGTGAGCTCCATAGGCTTACCGCGATTTAGTCCAGCGATTGCGTCTTTGGGTCTGGTGCTGAGGTACCTTTGTATCTTTTGGTGGGTATTGCTAGCAGGGTTATTGAAGCGTATCAGGAGTTCCCAGAGGCCTTTGGAAGCTGAACCTCGGTCGCACGCTGGTGCCGCATGCAACCAAAGTTCAATTTTCAGCCGACCCTTTCGAGCGACGCGGGTGCCATGCAGCCAGACGGAGACGATGCTGGGGCAGAGCCTGGAGCGGAACCTCGCCAAGACCTGAGCGAGCCGGATAACGCTGCTCATGAGACTGCAGATGCGACGCAGGGGACGTTACGCCGCACCTGCAGCTCTCAGGCGACTGCACTGCCTGCCTTGCAACATAGCTCATGTCCACTTTCTCCACTTTCTATTGCAGTCATCGAGCTCGGAGGCATTATGAACTCCTGCGTTCCATCTCCTGCTTCCGCCACCCCAGAGCGCATAACACATCAATACTTTTCTGATAAGGATGCCGACGTCATCATCCGCTCGAGCGACGCCGTGGAATTCAAGATGTACAAGGTCATCCTGTCCAAAGCGTCACCATTCTTCAAAGACATGTTCTCGCTCCCACAGAGCCCATCCGTCGTCGATGATAGGCCGTCGGAGTTCCTCGATGGAGTTCCGGTTGTAGATTTCAGCGAGAACAACCGCACTCTTGACCATCTGTTCCGCTTCCTGTACCCCTGTCCCAATCCAAATCTGAAAAGTCTCGACGACGTCCACGCTGTTTTGGAGGCTGCGAACAAGTATCAGCTGGAAGACGTCGTCTTGTACGCTCGGAGGACGTGGAACGAACTTGCCTCACTCGAGCCACTACGCGCATTTGCCATCGCTTGCGGCAGGCGATGGGAAGAAGAGGCGCGCTCTGCTGCTCTGCTCTCGCTCAAGGAGCCTGTATGGCCGCTCCAGCCGCCGATGGCACCCGAGTTCAAGACCATCTCCGGTGACACCGTCGTCCGCTTGATGTGGTACCAGCGGAGATGTGGTGAGGCGGCCATGCAGGCTGCGTTGAACCCCGAGCGGATGAACCGGCTCTTCGACGCGTCGTCCTGTACGCACTGCCTCGGACCATTCTCCATGACGCAGACGCGTCGTATCCGAGACTGGTTTGCGCTTTACACGAGGCAGGTGGCACCTTGCCTAGAGAAACAACCTTCTGGACGCACCGCCACCGAACGAGGGCTGGTCGAAGGCGCGATCAAGCATGTATTCGAAAACGCTCCGTGTGAAGTAGACATGCATTGCATTGAGCGCATCCGTCAAATCGTCCAGGTCTTCAGTGACGAAGTGGATAAAGTCGTCGCCCAGGTGCGTGACGACGCCACATTGCGATAGCCAGACTAATTTGGACGGCCTAGGTTCCGCTCGAACTGGACTTGTAGAAGATATTCGCAACCATATCCTGCTCTGAATCGCTTTGCCGTCTACTTGTATTCTCGTTCGTTGCTCTGGAGATATTGTGATTGGCTCATGTAAACACCTATGGCTTGTGGGTATGTGTCTTGTGTACACCAAATCAGATAACGAGTAAATGTGACGTCCACCCCCCTGCTCTCAGCCAGGTACATATAGAGACGTATTTACTCCGGTACAACCGCATGTACTCACCTCTGTCCAAGTCGACCATGATCTTCCCCCACCCTGTCACGCCAGCTGCATTTGGACAAGGCTTCGCCGCCTTCAACGACGAGTACGCAGATTTGATCGCTCATTCCGGCGATAGACTCAACACGTTCCATGTCCACAAGGCGCTCTCGCCAAGGCCTCATAGACCGTTCGTGGACATGTTCACCCTATTACCGGAGCTGGGCGCGCAAGCGACGGACCCGCAGGAGGTCACGTTCGAGCTCCTCTTCCACTTCATGTACCTGATGGCAGACCTGGAGCTGCTCGATGTGTGCCACATCGCGAGTGTGACTGTGGCGGTGCGCAAGTACGAGGTGACGTGGATAGTGAACAAACTCAGCAAACTTCCCTTTCTATTTTGACAAATACCACAGCTTCAGGAGAATCTCCCGCGGGTGCACATATGTGCTGTACGGAGCGCTTCAGGAGAGAGTCAAGAACGAAGTTGAGATACAATTCTGATCAAACTCAAGTATACTGTCCTTTTACACGCAGTCATGACTGCCGAAGCTATATCAGCGACAGGGGTGGCGACGACCCGAAGATGCCCCACATTGCCCACAAAAAGACTGTCACTGAAAGCAGAGCAACCCGGAAGAACGACACACTCACAACTGAACCCTGTATCACAGCTTTGCGTTCGCCTTCAATCTCATGTTCTCTGGTAGCTTTTCTCAGTACCCGAACTTGGAGTGTTTCTGCTGCGACTTCAGGTTCGTGGCCGTTTTGCACAGTTTTGGGTTCGACCCAGAAATAATCTGTCTGGCCGTGATCTCTATCTTCTTGGTTTTCATCGTGTATCAAGCATGTGATGTAATTATTAGTTCTCTGAGCAGATCCTGATTCTAACAGAATAGATGAGCTGAATGAGGAAGATCGCTGCGGTGGTCTTGATCGACGCCTCACGAATCTGTTCGTAGACGCTATTGAGGAGCGCCACGATGACAGAAAAACTTGAACTGCCCGAGAGCATCGATGAGCTCAGATGTTGGCCTCAGGAGGTGCGATAGTTGGTGTCAAGTAGTTGTGAACCGAGCGCAGGCCTCAAAAAAGAAGCAAAGATCGAAGAGAGCACCAGGGGGGCAGGTCGTAAACAATTTCGATGCACATGCTGACGTGGTATGAGGAGGCCGTCACCCTGAAGTTCGTTAGCGCGAAAGCCGGGGGAGGGGAAATGCGAGAGTCGTGAGCTGTAGAACACTGTATTAAGGCTTAAGCTCGAGCGACATAGTGTCGAACCTATGACCACAGAGCTGGAGCAGGAGAGTATGTAGATTATGCTTTGCCGAATAGATAAAGTCTTCGACGGTCTAGAGGTCAAAGGGGAGGTAAAACGCACAGCGCCTTATGTGGTCGGTGCCATCAAATGCGGGGTGATCACTGAGCTGCAGCAGCGTCATGTTGAGGCGGCCTGAGTGTACTATGAAGTCTTCGAAGGTGAAGTTCAACAAACGCGGGACTGTCACGGTCTGGCTGGCTGAGGGTGTCGATAGAAATTTGTGCCGGTGGAACGGAGGGTTTATAGACCGGTCTTGACCATTAGCACTCCAGCATCCAATCAGAATTCCTTTGACTGAAACGATATCCGAAAAGGAGTGCGACTCGGACTTGTAGGTAAGGCAAGGCAAGCTACCTTTAACCCAACCTTTGATCCGCGTCGGGATACTGGCATATCGATCCGGCGCTTTTCAGACGCTTGGCCGCGCCCTTGCTGTGGCCCCTGTTGTTCTCACGCCCTCCGCGATCAATTCGCGCGGAGTCGGAACGTCCATTCAACGTCCAGGTCTTCAGGCCTCTGCCCGCTGCTCTGCAGGACGGCCGACGGCCCGCCCTGCTACCAGGGGTACCGTGTCCTAAGACACCCAATTTAGGCCAATATGGACTGAAGGCTGCTCATGCAATGGGATCGCGCTCGTTTTCCGGTGTCCGAAGTCAATGACAATACTAGCTAGCGGACGCTCAGGCACGAAGATCCCGGAGTCTCGACCCTTTGTTTGTTCCGCACAGCTACGACGCGAACATTTATGCAAGGTGGTCTCATGTTTTGTTAGTAGCTGTAAAGCGCTTCTAGCTCTAATAACGCGCAATTCGAGTCGATTGTTAGCATGTTTAATTCCTGTCTATTTTTCTAATGTTGTGCTGATAATTGCCCAGTGGTAACTCTCAAGGAGCATCTCAACATCACGGACGCCACCGTGGTCGGGCGGTCTGCGGATGCGCTTCCCAAATTCTGCCGATAGATGGCGGAGAAACGACGGCCGCGGTGCTGCTTCTTTCCTGCGCGAGTTGGAGCTGCATTTTTCTTGGCAACATGTAAGTCAGATCCCGCCGTCACCGCCCATAGAAAGACAATGTTTCAGATTACCTGAATGCCTCGCGAAGTGTGTACTAACAGGCGAGGCACCCCGACCAATGCGCCAATACACCTTACGTATCGAACGCGGGATATCACGCGCTGACTCCCTGGCTGTCTCCACCTTGAGCTAACATGGGGTCCATGTCGTTGTACAAAAAGCGCGGCTCAGGAAATCGCCGTTCGCATGCCAAACGAATTTCTCCCCAAATTACCGTTATCGCCAGTTGCAGCCAAAATCCCATGACAAGCGACCCGTTATCATATGTCGGCGAGCTGACGACAGCGCAAGTCGTCGCCGGGGTTGTTCTCGTATGGCTGCTCGTCCGCCACTTGAGCGCGAAGAACGTACGTCCTTAACGCCACTCCACGCCCCAGCTACGATGCCATTGACTACAGCTCCGCCATATCCCGACCGAAGGCGGACCCTCTTTGCCAATTCTATCTTTCATCGGGCTTTACAACTTCCTCACCCATGGAAGAGAGATCATGCAGCGGGGTTATCAGAGGGTGTGTTCGTTGTATCCTCCTATAGCGTGTATTCTCACTGTGTCCCACTACAGCACAGGGGCAGGACTTTCAAAGTTGCTATGGTGGATCGCTGGCTTGTTGTGCTCTCCGGTAAGAAGTTGGTCGACGAGCTGCAGAAGATGCCAGATGACACAGTGTCATCTGCTACAACGGAGGTGCGCGTCCTTCAGCTGGGTTGGCACGGAAATGTCGTAATTTTATTCCTTTGCTCAACGCCAGGTTTTCGAGATGCATCATGTGTTCGACTCTTACTGGCACAGAGACCCTGTTCATATACCGATACTGCGAAATCTCACGCGAAATCTCGCATTGGTATTCGAAGACATGTTTGACGAGCTCAGCATGGCCTTCCGAGAGCATATTCCCGCGAACAGCGATCGTGCGTAGGGTGACCTGGGACGTGGTAGTACCAAAATCGGCTGATATCTCCGTTAGGTTGGCTGCCAGTCCACGCTTCTCCTGTCATGAGCACAATCATTACACGTGCTGCAAACCGCGTATTTGTCGGCATGCCCACTTGTAGGTGCCAACGCAAGTTTTGCAAGGAATTGGCTCACTGACAGGCACTGCACTCAGGTCGAGACAGTGGCTATGTACACATGATGGTGCACTTCGAAGAGGACGTAAGCAAAGCCGTGAGGCTTCTCGCAATATTCCCTGGTTTTATGAAGCGCATCGCCGGTAGGAAAGCCACGGTCATCGACAGACGTGTTCAACAGTGCCTCGACTACCTGCGGCCAGCTATCGACGACCGGATGGCTATGATGACCAGGTTTGGGAAGGACTGGGCAGACAAACCGGTGTGTCACCTTGGCGGCGCAGTTCTAGCCTATTTCTGACCTAAGCATAGAATGATCTATTGCAGTGGATTATTGATGAAGTTGTAGCTCGCAATCAAGGGCCAGAAGAGGTCGCGCGCATAGTATTGTTTATCAACTTCGGGGCCATTGGGACGACCTCATCCGTAAGTCTTCAGTATTGTAGGGCCAGAAGTATTAACCTGGTGTATTTCAGGCCATACTCCAAGCCTTGTACGACGTCTCTATGCGTCCCGAGCTCGCTAACACTCTCCGGGAAGAGGTTGAAGTGGCTGTGGCCGAAGAAGGTTGGACGAAAGCCGCGACGAACAAGATGCGCAAGCTCGACAGCTTCTTGCGCGAGTGCGAGCGGCACAACGGCCCGACCACTGGTGCATGTTCTTCTCCCACTCGCTTCTCCCACAACTGACAGCTCACAGTGTCGATGTTCCGCAACATCCTGCAGCCGGTGACGCTCTCGGATGGGACATTCCTTCCCAAGGGTGCGACGGTCGTCACACCGACATTCGCGACTCACTTCGACGAGGAGAACTATCCGAACGCGACCCTTTTCGACCCGCTTCGGTCTTACAAGAGCGACAAGTCCGTGCAGCCGCAGCTGATTACCACCTCCGCAGACTACGTAACATTCGGGCATGGCAAGCACGCGTGGTATGTTGCTTCACCTTGTCGTACTCTCACGCAGTAATTTTGACTGCTGCATGCACCAGCCCTGGTCGGTTCTTCGCCTCCAACGAGCTCAAAGCCATGTTAGCGTATATCGTCGTAAACTATGACCTCAAACCAGAGTATGAGGGTGTCCGTCCCGAGAACTTGCAGAGGGGACTGACCAATGACCCGAACGATACCGCACGAGTGCTGTTCAGGAGACAGGTTGACTAGAAGGTGCGGGAGGGAACCGTGAAACGCGCGAAGTTACCACTTTGGGACGGCTCTAGAAAGTTTCAATTTTCTCATCATGATACTCATCATGGCCTGGACATTTCAGACAGGGAATCGCCACGGAGAGGGTTAGTTTCAATCTTATCGCATACGTCAGTCTGCTATGCCGCTCTGCTTTGCTGAACATGATGTCCTGCCCGATAGGCTATCCAGTAATTTGTACGCGGTGCGAACTTATCGTATGTATGGGATCGCTCGTCTCGATCAGTAAGGTGTCCAATCTGGTTAGAATCTACTAACAGAAAGCAGGCGAGACGAAAAGCGTAAATCCTCCAAATGGACGCTCCTCCGCCATCTTTTATATTTACTGCACCCACTCGGAGCCGGAGCTGAGCGTGCTCGAAGATTGCCGTACCTGGTGCTGCTGCTACTGCTCAAGACTCGATGTCGAAACTCAGTGAATTTACTTCGCGGCGCGGCGTCGACGATGTAGGGCACCTTGAACATTGATCCGTCGATGAACAGCGGGGTACTCCGGATCAAGACCGTGAGCCGGAGCGCGGAGAAGGCCAGACTGCCGAACATGTGCGCGAGAGAGTAGGCCGAACGTCCCGCCGAGAACGCGAGCCGGCCATACGTGCACGCGATGTGCGCTATTCTCAGAGATGAATGCGAGTAGGATCCAGCGGATGATGTCCCGACACCTGGACCCCTCACGACTCACATGTGTCTCTCCCCGTGCAACCATATTTCTAGATCTAGCTTGTGTCAGAAGGTCCGTAACCCAGTGCTTCGCCCGTCAACGACCTCGCTATCGGTGTCGTAGTTATACACACCTCGCACGGCGGGTTGAAGCCTAAGGTGTGGCTAGTCGGCCGCATAGCTTCCATGTTAGTCACACACTTGACCGATCATCCGGTACGATGTTGAATCTGGATTGCGGTTATCTTGTACATTTGACTGATCCTCCGAGTCAAACCATTGCCTGGGATCCGAAGTCGCCTGGAGGCCGGTGTTCCATGATCACATTGGTAGAGCACAGTAAACCTTCGTTCATCATATCAACTGTCTGTTCTGAGATGAATATGGTACTGGACTCCCATATAAGCATGGC